CTTACATATCAAACAACGGATCCTGCAATTTGATTGTCCATGCAAGTTTCGGCCAACTCCTCGTTTCCCATGATACAAATGGGTTGGGTACGTCACAGTGTAATTATTTACGCAAGTCCTTGGCCGTGCCAGAAGAAATTGCGGTGGCGCTCGAGGTTGAAGGAGGTGGCCGAGCGCCATTTCTCCCCTTTATCCCGGGGGCGGTCGCCCATCCCGCCGACACTTGCCCGGGGCCCTCGACGGATGCGGATGATGGGCCTGCTGTCGCGTGGCACGATACCGATCAGGTCTCCCCTCCTGGAGGCCCCGTGGACAGGCAACTCTGGGGGGGCCTCTTCATAGACGGCTCGTGCACGAGACATCCCCTTCTTCTACTAAGCAGAGCTGCATCGCGTGCCGCGATGGTTGACAGTGCTGGCAGGTGCGCTGCGGAATTCAGAGCTCCTGTCTGGGCCCCTTATCCCCAGACCCCTTCAGAGCGCGGAGTTCTCGGCCTACACGTGGACCCACATGCTCAGCACCCCAGGACACACGCGTGTTTGGTCGGACTGCCACAATGTTGTCGAGCTTGCCTGCCCGCCGAAAGATGTACACCTTTCGGGCAAGCGCGTGCATGCTGGAGCCTACCTCCAGCGCTACTCCACTTCCTCCTCTCTCCTTCCTCTGCAGAAGGTTGCTGCTCACAAGGACATCGCTGAGCAAGCCATCTCCAGTAAAGAGAGATGGCGCAGACAGGGCAACTACTGTGCGGACGTAGGTGCAAAGCACGCCATTGGACTGCACGCCAGTCCTGCTGCTGCCAATGCGGATACGGACCAACTTATCAGAGCGGCTCGCCGTGCCTTGCGTCTCGCGGCCCGCCTCCTGCCATTGTGGGGCCCCATCGACCTGTCAGGGGTCGAGCTGACCAAGGCTCCCTCTGTTGCCTCAGTTCCGTTGCCACATGCTTGGAGACCGTGGTCTGGGGCGTGTAGGTGTGAGGTCTGTCTGAGTGGCACCGGGGCCTTGATTGAGCCCCCATCCTGGTTCGCGTAGTGGCCGCAGCAATTTGGGCGAGGGCCGCCTTTCGACTTTTGAGCATCGTGTTATCGCTTTCGATTGTTCGGGCCGCAGCGTTTTATTATCTGCGCGAGTTGCTATTGCTACTCCTCGGGGCAAAGGGTTCGAGGTTTATCGATAATGCGTTGGCCAGCCGACGAGAACTACTCGGTCTGGCTGGGACACTTTATGCAACGGAGGCCTCCACCCACAGCACAGCAAGCGCGAGGTGAGGGTCCACGCAGGCAATATCATGAGCCTTTTCGGCTCCTCGGACGGTGTCCAAGTCGAGCAGCAGCACGCGGAGATGGAGGTGGCCCCCGCCCCCTCGGTCGAGCCCCCCCCCCCCCGCCCTCGGAGGTGGAGGATGCTCGTGAGAGGCGCCAGGGCGCACTGGCCCGGCGCCTGCTCGCTGCTGCCCAGGCAGGCCCGTCTTTCTGCCCGCTTTAGAGGGCTTGGCCAAACGCGGCGGACAGAGCGTGGAGCTCGCCGTGTGGGCGCACTTGGTGGGTTCGATCTGGGGTTTTGCGTCGTCCTGTTTGGCGGTGCTGGTTACGCTGCCAGCCCTGGAACTCGGGCCTCGAAGTTCCGTCGGGCAGGCGTCGCTAGCCGTCCTTTTCATTGCCTAGTCCTGCCTTCGCCCCCCTTGTTGCACGGCCGCGGGGCGATGTCTCTCTCGCGCTGACCGCTGCTCAAGGGGTCGTTTCTCCTGTCGGAGTGCGCGCCAGGGCACGGGGAAGGCAATTCTGCCCTCCCTGTCCGTTCGCCCTGCGTTGCGTTGTGCCGTTTTCGCGTTGCCTTGACGTAATTGGACCCACGTGGCAGGCTCGATCCGGGTTTTTGTTGCGCCCTGCTCGGCGGTGTTGGCTACGCTGCCAGCCCTGGAACTCGGGCCTTGGAGTTCTGTCGCGCAGGCGTCGCTGGCCGTCCTTTTCCACTGCCTCGTGCTGCTCACGCCCCCTTGTTGCACGGCCGCGGGGCGATATCTCCCTCGCGGTGACCGTTGCTCACGGGGCCGCCCCCAGCGTCGAGAGAGCGCGTCAGGGCACGGGGGAGACACCGTCCCCCCCGTCTGTTCGCCCTCTGAGGTGCGGGATGTTTAGCCCATGGCGCTTGGCGTGTGTTGGGCTCACGCGGCAGGTTCGATTTGTTTGTTGCGTCTTGCTCGGCGATGCTGGTTACGCAGCCAGCCCTGGAACTCGGGCTTCGGAGTTTCGTCGTGCAGGCGCTTCTGGCCGTCCTTTTCACTGCGCTGTGCTGTCCTCGCCCCCCCGTCGCACGGCCGCGGGGCGATGCCTCCCCTGCGGCGACTGCTAACTAGGGGCCGCCAATGTGTTTGGTATAGATTGCGCGTGGGGGCACGGGGAGGAACTTGCCCTCCCCGACCGTATGCCCTGCTGCGGCTTTCAGCCCTCTTGAGGGCCATTCGGCTCACCAGGCCTCCCTTTTTTTGCCCTGGTGCGTGCCGTGGCGGGTTTTTTTCCGCCTGCAGGCTCGTTCCCCCCGCCGCAGGGGGCCTGGCTAAACGTGGCGGAAAGAGCGCGGAGCTCAACAAAATCTCGGGGCATCTTGGAGGCATCGTTGAGACCATCCTGAGCTATAGCGTGACAGTTTGGAGGCGAGCTTGGGATCTGTAGAGCCATCTTGGATCAATTTGGATGCTCGACTGCGTGTTGCCCTTAAAACGGAGGATTTCACATGGTGTCCTTGTTCGTGTGGTGATGTACATTTCGATTGCTTTCGGTGTTTCACAATGGTGCGCCCGCTGCAGCGTGGGCCTCATGTTCGGATCGGCATTTTGCTCCCGTCGTTCAGAATGGCGCTCTCGTCGGCATTTTGCCCCCGTCGTTGCTCCTCATATCCCCTTCTCCGCCTTCCCCTGGTCCTCCTGCCCCTCCTGCTCCTTCCACTCCTGTTGCTGCTGCTGCTGTTGCTGCTGTTGCTCGTGTCGGCCCAGCGCGGTCCATTCTTCTGAATCCGAGTATTTATTCATCGTTGTCGCCTTCTTATTTCCCCTCCTCCGTCTTCCCCTGGTCCTTATCATCCCTGACATATCGCTTTAGTTCCTGCTGCTGCTGCTGTTCGTCTCATCCTTCTCCTCCCGCTCATCCTTGTGTTCATCCGTCACCTCCTCGTGTGCTCGGAGCTCCTAGCTTTCCGATTGCGCACAACACGAATTGGTCTTTCGTAGGGAATCGCATGTCGGCTATGACACGCGTCCGCGGGTAATTTCAAATCAGCGCCATGTTTTGGGTGGGAGGGAGGGAAAGGATGTCAGATGAGGCGCGAGCGCACCTAGCTTGCCCCCCCCCCCCCTCGTTTTAGACCCATGAGAGGGGGCACGGAGAGAGGTCAAGCCAGCCCAAGCCGCAAGCCGTGTCGCTCAGTCGCACCCGCCCTCCCACTACGTAGGTAGCACATGGGTCTCGGCACAGACTGCTGCCGCCATCGACAAGCACCGGACCATCGGGAACCAACGCAGACGCCAGCCAGGTGGGCGATGCCCGCGAGGTGCGCCGCACGTGCACGGTGCGCCACGCGCACCAGGTGCGCAGCATTGGATAATATGTCGAATGCCCTACCAAATTTGCCAAACACGCATGCAAAGTGACGGCGGGTTCGCGAGCATTGAGTTATTTTGTGTGGGTGTGCACCCGCATTCACGACGCACTTATGTTTCACAGGCATAGTGGGCTTGCGCACTGCAAGCATTATGAAGCCCGCGCCGCCCCTGCCAGAGTGGATTTTGCAGTTCCTGTCGAAATGGATGGTGGGCCTGCACGCTGCAGGCCATTTGCAGGCCCCTCCGTCCCCGACGTGTCGCCGGTCAAGTGGGGGAAGGGACGTAGAATATCTGATAAGGAACAGTGGTTCAGCTACCCACAAGCTGCAAGCCGTCTCGCTCACTCCCACTCGCCCTCCCAGCACACAGTGGCATGCGAGACTGAGCAGATCTAGCGGTCACCATTGGATGGGCAGCTAACAGGATACACTTCACAAGCGTAAACATCGGGAACTCCGCGCGGATCTCCGAAAGCCAGCTTGTGGCGCTTCATGAACCACATGCGCCAAGTGCGCCACGTGTTCCAGCCGCGCTAGGTGCGCGACTCGCGCTGAGGATGCCTGCTGCGCCAGTGCATGTGACAGCACATGTCAGGAAGCACGTCGACCCCTCGCACTGCCAATCACAGAAGCCAATGCAGAATGGTGGAGGAGTGGCCATCGTGGTGTACAGCACGTGCGCCCAAAGTCACTTCGCATTTGTTTTGGCTTGGATGGCGGGTTTGCGCACATCGGGAAACGTGCGAACACACCCGCCGCCAGTGTTGTCAGAAACATAGCAAAGTGATCGCGGGGAGCACGCGCATGAGCCAAGATTTTGCAGCGAAATTGCATGGTGAATTGTGTTTGGCAGGGATGGCAGGGGGGATTCGATATTGGCCCTGGTTGGGGGCCCAACCAGATGGGGGCAGGGGGGCAATGACAAGCTTCTCCCCGAAGGGGAAGAGGGGGATCGGAAAAGGACACGTGCCAGACCACCTCCGCTCGTAGGGCTGGTGGGACTCCTCGGGGCTTTCGCCTCCGGGAACCGTTTCCTCAATGCCCAGCCTGGGATTCTTCCCGTGGAACGACCCATGGATCTCTTGCAGGCAACATGCAGGGTGCGTTCTGCTCAGGATCTCACTGCGGATCCAGCCCTGACGACGAGGAGGTCAGCAAAGACCAGTCCGCATCAATAGCTCAGCCCTAGACCTAGGACCTCGAACCTGTCCGTCCAGGGCTGGACCTAAACGCTGTGTCGGGGGTCTTCGGTTGCGTTGTGTCGTTCGTTTCGGGAGGGAGGCACAGGAACACAGGTAGAGCAAACCGAAAAACAAAACGATAACGAACCGAACCACAACGTTTAGGTCCAGCCCCGTGTCCGTCATCGTCCGTCTGCGTTGGGCCCTCCTCCTCGCCAGGGCCAGGACGACGCCCTCCGCGCCTTCTGCATATGCATCGCGGCGCCCCAGGGGGGGCAAGGGCGAGGAGGAGGAAGGAGGGGCATCGAGGAAGGAGAAGGAGGATCAAGCTGATCAGGAGGAGGATCGAGGTTAGGGGTTAGGGACGCCGAGAGAGGAGGGTCGAGAGAAGAGGAGGGGGTGGTGAGGATCAGGGAGGACCGAGCAAGGATCGAGCGATGAGGAGGAGCAGAAGGATCGAGGAAGGGGAGGAGGAGAAGGAGGATGTGGATCGAGAGAGGAGGAGGATTAGGAGGAGGAGGAGGAGGAGGACGAGGAGGACGAGGAGGAGGATCGAGAGAGGATCGAGAGCGTAGGAGGAGGAGGAGGAAAAGGATCGGCAGAGGAGGATCGGGAGAGGAGGATCGAAAGAGGAGGATCGGGAGGGGCGGAAAGAGAGATGAGGAGGAGGAGGAGGAGGAGGACCTTAGTAAACCCATGATGCATCAACGATGCTGCAATACACCCTCCCGTCGCAGGCCTTCCCATCAAACCATACGTCCCCCTAAAGAGAAGCACCCGATGGGCTTATTATACAGGCGAGAGCCCAGTTTTGAACAAAAAAGCTGATTTAAACCCTTCTGGCAAGTTGCAAACAACATAACATGACTGATGATACAGTTCACCTGGTGTCCAGCGGTTTCCCCGTTTTGGCAGGACCGCCCCCATCTGTGTAGTTGGTGCACATGTTTACATTGCGGGCCATGAGCTTTCAGGAAGTCTCATGCGAGAGCCCCATGTTGAAAAGGAGCCGTCCTCAATCCTCGTAACTGTTGCAAGCATCCAAGGCGAATGCTCGCGGCGCTGACGGGCCAACCCCAGTTTGATTTGTTGCAGTTTCTTGGGCGAACATGTTCGGCGCTAAGAGCAGAGCCCCATTTCGAAAATCATCACCCCTCTGGTTTTGCATATGCTGCAAACTTTTAAGACGAACGTGCGCGGCGCTCAGGCAAGAGCCAAATTTTGAAAACCACCCCCATTCTCCATTCTGGAACCTGCTGCAAGCTTTTAAGACGAACGTGCGCGGCACTAAGGCGAGAGTTCCATCATGAACACCACCATCACCACAATCCTTGACACTGCTGCAAACTTCAAGCTTTCAGGATCATGAACGGATGGCGAGGAGGTCTCGGGCGAAGCGCCCCGCCCGATCTACTGGCGCGACGGGGGCTGGGAAGGATTCTGCTGACCTCCTGCTGCCCCACCGCCACGAGCTTCGAGAACGCACCCCGCGGCGGAAGAGGTCCGTGCCTGCCCGTGGGTCGCTCCCCGAGAGACCCGGGCTCGCCTCGAGCGCCAAACACTGCCGAGCCGCATCCCAGCTCGCACGGCACGCCGTGGGAGCCGATCCCAGCGCTGCGGCTCCAGGCGCCCGGGCGTCGCTGCCGGCGCGCATGCCTTCCCCAGGGCAGGGCGCCGATCGCTCCTTCTCGCACCCGGCGCTCGAGCCTTCTCGCAGGCCTCGCGCGAGCGGGTAACAGCACTGTGGCTGATGGTGTTGGCTCGCACTGGCTCGCACTTCTCGCACGAGCCGGTCCCAGCGGTGTGCAGCCGAGGACGTCTGCTCACACCCTCCCGCGATTCTGTGGTGTTGGCTCACACACTCTCGCATTTCTCGCCCGAGCGGACCCCAGCGTTGTAGCTGAGGATGTCGTTTCTCCCCTTTCTCGCATTTCCTTGTCGCCGCCGCCCGAACGGTCTCCAGCATTGGCGCTGATGCCTTCGACTCGCACTCTCCTCCACCGCTGATATTTGATCACTACCGCCGCTGATCCATTTCTGGGGGTAGGGTTTTTCTGTTGGCGGATCCAACACAGAAGTTAAGGTCACATAAGCGTGTTGGAACAGATGTTGCACGCCATCGCTTTCAACTGCGATTGGGCCGTGGATGCGGGTCAGGTCGACGTTGTCGCATGAGGAAGCAAGGGCAACAGCCTGGAGCTGCGAAAGGTAATGCTGGCACATGATACAGCACACGTGTTCAGTCCGATGTGCTCGCGTTCTACGTTGAGGTCCTTATCCCCGGCTCCCGAGCCATCCGCTCGAGGGTTCAGACCAGGGTCTGGATTCGCCTATTACGGCGTTGCGGGCGCCGTGGTGGGGGCTCGCAGGCCATTGCCGCTTGCGGGGTCTTCTGGCCGCAGTAGTGAATACGGATATTTCTTGAAGGGTTGTTCCTGCGTTTTGATCCATATCCACTGCTGGCTGCTTGGGTGGGGTCGCCTGTGAAAACTCGCGCTCTGGCCTGGCGTTCTGGTTCGTTGGGCGCCCCCCCAGATGGTCCGCGGCGTCGCGGGCGTGGGGCAGATGGTATCGCGGCACATCCATTGGAAAAAGAGGCCGTTCGAAGGCTCTGCCGAGGTCGTCAGGCTCGGCGACTCCGAACAGCAGCGGCCGTGGTGCACTCAGGCATGCCACCCCGTTGCTGGGGTCTCCGCTTGGAATGTGGACGATGGGGCTCCTGCTCGGCCACGTCTTGCTGGCCCTGTGGCCTAAACGCTCCCCTTGCTTCGCACATCCATGCCCTGGAGACACTTAGTCCTGCTGCTCGGGGAGCTTTCGGGGGAAACCCCCGCCAGCGCTGGATATGGTAATCTATTGCTGGTGCATCTCCCGCATTTCTCACACGGACTACTCTCAGCATTATAGCTGGTGTTGTCGGCCCACAGTTTGTCGCGCGAGCTGTTTTCAGAGGTGGTGCTGATGACATCGGCTCGCACGCAGCTCTAGCACCAACGAGTCCCAGCATTGTAGCTGATGATGTCGGCTCGCCCCTTCTCGCGCGAATTCATCCCAGCGGTTGCGCCGATGATGACAGCTCGCACGTTCCCGCAGTTTTCGCGCGAGCTAATTCCAGCGTTTTAGCTGATGATGTCGCTCCTGCACATCTCGCACAAGTGGTTCCCAGCGTTGTGGCTGATGATATCGGCTCACACCTTCTCGCACGAATTCATTGCGATGGTGGCGTTGATCATGTTGGCTCGCTCGCTCCCAAATACAGCATTGTAGCTGATGTTGCCCCTCGCACTTCATCGCAGCAGTGGCGCTGATGACGCTGGCTCGCACGCACCCACAGTTCTCGCACAAAGTAGTCACAGCATTATAGCTGATCTCGGCTCGCACCTTCTCAGACGAATTCATCCCAGCGTATACCAGTGATGTCGGCCTACACGTTCGCACACGGACTGATCCCGGCACTGTAGCCGATGATTGAATATTCAGACGGTTTCTCGCAATGACCGCGTCGATTGCCCTTGATCGCCTTCACGCGCGAGCTGACCCCAGCGTTGTAGTCGATGAGTTGCTCTCGCCACGGTGTTTCGTTATGACCGCACGCGCTGTCATTGCCCAACTTCTCGCAAGAGCTGATCCCAGCGTTGTACCTGCTGACTGGCACTCGCGTCGGATTCTCATCCCGAGCGTCGCTTTGACGCGCGTCGCAGCGACGCCCTGGACGCCAGGGGCGCGAAGAACCCCCAGGGCGCGGGCGGGTGGGACAAAACGAGACACGCGGCGTCGCATGGGCGGCGTGCGCGCCACGAGCCTTGCGTGGCCCCCTCCCCAGAGAGGCGAACCCACGGCGCGCGCAGCCGCGCGCGCGGACGGGCCCCACGAGGCCGCCCCAGCGCCACCCGCACCACGACGCGGTGGCCCAGCGCGGCGGGGCACGTGCCCGCCAGCTCCCACAGCCTTGGCCAACAGGCCAGCGGCCGCACATGGGCGGACCGCGGACAAGAGAGCGCAAGAAAGCAGAAGCGGCAGCCGCATAAGCAGAGCAGCACCAGCATCCCTCCCCCACCCACGGCCCCGCACCCCGCCCCCCCCCCCACCCCAAGGACGAGGAGAGGGCAGGGGATCGGGGCAGACGCAGGGGCAGCATTCGTGCCAGCCCACGAACCCTGCGACAGTGCGAGCACTGTCCCAGAGTTTGTGGGCTCATCACAAATGCCTGCCCCACGCGCCGCGGGAGGGCAGAGGGATACCAAGACCCGCTCCGCGGCCCAGGGGAACGCCGCCCCCCAGACATGGGATGCGGTGTCCCGAGCGTCGCCTTGACGCGCGTCGCAGCGACGCCCGGGACGCCAGGGGCGCGAAAAACCCGACGCCAAAACGTGGCCCTGGTGGCTCGGGCGGCGCCTGCCCCAGAGGCGCACCACCTCCCGCTGCATGCGCCTGCAGGGGTGAGGCAAGGCACGATGCCACGCGGACCTCCCACGCGGAGGACGCCCCAGTACGCTGCGGCTCGATGCACCGCCGGGACTTACGAATCGGACGGAGAGTCGCTGCCGGAAGACTCGCCCACATGCGCTTGCGAGCAACGAATGCATTGCAAACCGCCTTAATGCGGAACGCGTCACGCCCCCAGTACGGCGCTGGACTCTAGGTCCTGAGAATTAATGTGTTGGAGGAACGTTGGTGAACGCCACTGCCCGGCTTTGAAAATCGTCCCCAGGCCACTGCCATCTTCAAGCATGTTTTGCGCGCGTCCCGCGGTCGCAGCGCGCGAACGGGCGCGGTGTCCGAGCTTGCGCATGGCCGCGGCGCAGGTCGTGAGACCGATGCAGTTTGGCCTCGGGGACAGACAACATGGTCAGTATCCTCCGCAGGGACCGCAGCGCCCTGCTAGGCGTCAAGCTCGGGAAGCATGCGACGCCGCCATCTTTCCGAGCAGCACCAGCATCCCTCCCCCACCCACGGCCCCGCACCCCGACCCGACCCCCGCCCCAAAGACGAGGAGACGGCAGGGGATCGGGGCAGACGAAGGGGCAGCATTCGTGCCAGCCCACAAACCTTGCGACAGTGCGAGCACTATCCCCGAGTTTGTGGGCTCATCTCAACGACCGTGTACACTGCCGTTTCTGTCCTTCTCGCATGAGCTATCCCCAGCGTTGTAGCTGGTCCGTCGCTCAGTGCTCCGTGCCTGCACTCCTGCAGCTGCGCCGAGGTGGCTACCGCTGCTGCCCCCCAGCAGGACGATGAGAAGGGGAAGGCAAGCGACTTGGCATCGCTCGGACGTGGGCCTTCCCCCAGGACCATCGAGGAGGATCTTGGATGATCCTGCGCAACTAAAGAAACACTCGCGAAATAGAAGCATGCATGTGGAATGGACGCCCGAGCGATGGCAAGACGAGCGAACGAAAACGGGAGAGAGACTCCTGGCGGCCGCGTGCAAACCTGGTCTCAGCATGGTTAGCTGCTGACGTTGGGCACCCCGCCTCCCGATCGTGATTTCTGTGCGCAAGGCCGCTCCGAAGGTGGTGCAGAGACAGCCCTCGCGTGCCCCGTGCACGGTCGGCCGCTTGGGCGCTAAATGGCTAGGCGGAGGAGGTGAGCGTGGGGGGAGGAGGAGGAGGAGGAGGAGGAGGAGGAGGAGGAGGAGGAGGAGGAGGAGGAGGAGGAGAAGAATAGGAGGCGGCGGAGGCGGAGGAACGGCGGAGGAAGAGGAGGAGGGGGAGGGGGAGGGGGTGGAGGAGGAGGAGGAGGAGGAGGAGGAGGAGGAGGAGGAGGAGGAGGAGGAGAGGATGGGGAGGGGGAGGGGGAGGGGGAGGGGGAGAATGATAATGAGGAGGAACAGAGAGAGAACGGGTACAATAGCGATCGACGCGATCGAGCAAAAGTATCGGAATTTGAGGGTTTTCACGTGTCGGGCCTTGGGAGGCGATACTCGTTCGACAGCGTTTCGACACTTTTCTGGGTGCTCGAAATTATTTCTGGGATGTGGTCCTTAAGCACGATGGGAGCAACATAAGCGTGCATCCCGTGCCATCCTGGAGGAAGAAAAACTGCATAAACAGAAACGTTGGCGCTCCGCGTGGATTCCCTTGATCGACGCTGGGCCCCCCCTGGCGGCGCCTCTGGCGCCGCCCCCAGCGCGCTCCGCGCGCCAGGGAGGGTGATCCAGCGCAGACCCAAGAAGTTCGTGCGGCCCGTCAGAAGTTTACGTTTATGCCGCTTTTTGTTGTCTTTCTACATGCCCCCTCCCCTCTGGATGATTACCCTATCCTCCTCCCTCTCCTCGGCATCTTCCTCCCCTGGCATCCTCGCGTCGGAACAAAAACACGGCGGGCAGTCTCCGACCGTTTTCAGCCTCCAGGGTTCTTTCAAAGTGTTTTCCTAGGGTCCCAGGGTGCAGGGTCGTCAACTATCAGCTCATGGTGAAAGGCCGGTCCAAGGGAAGAGCTCCCGATCTTTGCGGAGCCACGCTGTGAAAAAGTCGCAACGTCGGATGTCTGGGTTCCTCGCCCCCTCGTCACCGTCCCTCTTTTCCAACGGCACGGTGCCGCAGTCGGCGCAGATCAAAAGAACGCAGTCTCGTCACAAGAACGCAGGTGCCAATCTTTGGCCACCAGGTCTGACAGTTGGAGCCATTGTTCCTGGGGTCTTTCCGCCCGGACTTCCGTCCCTCTCTCCCCCCGCTTCCGTGCAGTGGCCCAAGGATTTGCTGGCCAACCGAGGGAAGTGCTCGCAGTTCCCACGGATTTGCTGACCAACCGAGGGAGGTACTCGAAGTTTGGTATGGCGTCTTCGCGGCCAACTTGCAAGCGGGGCTCAGGAAAGGCGTGGTCCCCAGGCCCTCAATGCCACCAGGAGGTCTTACCTGGAAAGGTTTATCGGGGGATTGCACCTAAGGCTCTGAGTCTGAGTGGTGCCGAATGGTCAGCACGTCAGCCAGTCCAAGGGAAGGTAGTTAGTTCATTGTCATTGACATTGTCATGTAGTTGTTCCTCTTCCTCAGGCGCCCGCGCTGCTCGCGTTGCCCCTGACGTTCGTCATCGCCGAGAGTCCCTGCTTCCTCGCGGTCGGCCTCCGCGGGCAGGAGGGCGAAGGGAACCCGGGGGAGGGCAAGGCAGGCTGTTGATGTTGCGGTGCTTCTGGGCTGTCAGAGACCCAGAGGAGGGGGGGGGGACGAGGGAGAGAGTAGAGGGCCAGGTCCTGGCCCTCTACTCTCTCCCTCGTTCGCCTCGGCTTCCTCCGCCTCCTGAGGAGGCGGAGGAAGCCGAGGCGAACGAGGAGGGCGATTGAGGAGAAGGACACAGGAGAATGGCGGGGAGCCTGGGGAGGATGGATGCGCGGGCAATGGAGACAGATGACAGATTCGCAGGGACCTCCGGAACCGAGGGGATCGTGCAGAGCGGCATGCTTCTGCCCGGGCAATCAGTAGGCACGGTGGGTTCCACCACGGAGGTGAAGGCGGGGAGGCAATGACCGTTTCAGCATCAGGTCTTCGAGCTCCAACTTGCGACGCCGCAGCGATGACAGACTACGACGGACTGCCACACTTACTGATCCAGGATGACTGAAGGGCGCCCCTTTGGCAAGACGGTCCTCAGCTTTAATTGTTCGGCATCTCGGCTTTGCTGCGTGAGAGCAGCGAGAGCGGAACGAGCGAGGGCAGCGCGAGCACACCGTTCAAGCGCAAGTTGGGCGCCCCCCCTGCGCTCGACGAGGTTAGGTTTAAGACGGGAATGTCCCTCTCTAGGAGGAATATTTAAAAATAGTCAAATAAATAGTTTGGGACAATCTTGTTCTTTTTAGCATCATGTTTTAACTATTTGTATGTTTCGCCCAATATGCGCCTGTAGGGGGGACATGCCCGACCTAAGTTTAGTTTGTGATGCCCCCTCATGCGCGGTCAAGAGTGCCCGCGGTTGGGTCGGTTTGGCTGCGTCGCAGTCGATTGCATTCGTTCGGTTCGGTTCGGTCAGTCTTGCTGTGTCGTCGCTTCGCCACTGCGCCCTGCCGCCTGCGGCCGGTCGGTTTCGGCCGGTTTTCCCACTCACTTCATCTTGAGTTTTTGTTCTGTCTTCTGTCTTCCGTTGGTTCTGTCTTGGGTTTTTCTGTCTGCAGTCGCCGTGGATGGCCTGGGCGACCCCTGAGCGGCGCGCACGGCTGCGAGCCCAGACCGACGACGACGTGTAACTGATCCTTCTCCGCGGCCCCAGAGTTCGCGATCCCTGCCCCGCGGGCGAGTGCTCCCTCCGGAGTCTCGCCTGCTCCAGGCCTCGGGGTCCGAAGTCGAGGAAGAAGCGCCGGGATGTGGCAGAAGCAGGTCGGCAGAGATCTGGGCTTCCCGCCGCCCCCCGCCCGGCGCATGGCCGAGGACACCATCTCTCTTCGGCCACGGCGCGGCGGGTCGCAGTCAGCAAGTATATTGCGATGCCACATGACGGTGGTTGTGCGCCCGTGTGCGTTTTATACTCAGCATGTTGCTTGCCTACGCCTGGCGCATGCCCGAGGGCTCCGCCCTGCCGCTCCCGCGGGCGCGCGAGCTCCTCGACGGGGCCGTTTTTCGAGGGAAGACAAACCACCCCGACCCGGTCATCCGCGTTTTCTGAACAGGCCTGGGCGTTTACTAAACCGCCCTGCCCCGTTCGATTCCTTTTGGGGGGCGCTTACTGAGCGGCCTCGCTGCTGGAGGCGATCATCCTGGGGCTGAACGTGTTGCCCTCCCGTTTTCCAGGGGCGCCCGCCGTGCCGTGGAGGCATGCCCGACGGAGGGCGTGGGTGCCCTCCCTGCGGCCTCCAGGGGCGCCAGCCCGAGGGCGCCTCGCAGTGCACCCGCAGCCGAAGCCGACGCCAAGCTCGGCGCCACCCAAACCCACGTGCAGCAGGTTCATGCGGCGTTGGCGCGCCGGCGGCGCCGGCGGCGCCGGCGAAGGCCTTCAGGGTTGGGTTCCGCGACGCGGAAGCACCGACGGACACGGCAACGCCATGGGACCCGACTGGAGTCGACCTCGAGCGATCGAGGCTGCGCTCAGTTCAAGGTTGAACTCAGGAGGGAAAAAAAAAACAGACACAATGAATCGTCGATTCCCCAGAAAATATGGGAAGTGGGGGGAAGACAGACACCCAGAAAATATGGGAAAATATGGAGAATCCTGTTCTGTGTGTCTATTTATTTGTGTGTCCCAGGGCCCCTTCATGAGCGATCGACGCGGTGTCAAAGACTCTTGCGCGCGCCGACGCCGCACGGAACCCGACGCACGCCAGAGGCGCGCTGGCCACGCGGGGGCGACGCGCACGCTCACGCGTCTGGCAGCACGAGCTTCGCGGCGGGCACCGTCTGGCCACACAGGGGGGCGGGCCCGTGCCAAGAGGCACCCCGCTTGCCTCCAGGGTGCCCTGGGTGTCGCGGGTTCCGAGGGCTTTGCCATGGACAGCGTGACGTTCCCACACCAAAAATCCATGGACGTCCTGGGGTCTCGGGGTTGGGTTTCTTTTGGGAGGTTTCTTGTGGACTGGCCTCGACTCTACCGCTCGGGAAACTGATATACTACAATATGTTGCATGATCGAAGAAGCGTGCGACGAATCACCGCCGCCCCCTGCTTTATAGAATACGCCTATGTCGCCAAACGTTTGGGCAAAGTTTGGCCAGGCTATTAGACCATGTGTTCCCCCAGCCGCTGTGGAAACCCTTCGGGATACACGTGGGGGAAGCAAGAGGAGGATGAGGAGAGGGAGGAACAAGGAGGAGGAATTACAGGAAGTACAGCCTTCGCGTAGCGAAAATATAAGAAATCCACTGCTCAAGCCATTGCTTGAGGCTCAGGTCACTTGCACTTGGGAAACTCGTCGCGCTGGATTATGTCCAGATACTCGCGACGAGCTTTGGAAATTGGCAATTTGCATTCGGCTCCTAGTCCCCTGAGCTGGGACTGTCCGAAGAAGCCGCACACGCTGCAGTACCATATTTCCAGGGAATGATGATACATTGGGCATGAGAGGGGTGGGCCCAACCTCCAGCGATATGCATGTGGCACCCCCTTGTTACCCGAGATCTTGGGGCCTCCTGGGAGCTTTCGAGGGGCCTCTTGGAGGCATCTTGCGGGCCTCCTTGGGCCTCGGGGGCGTTTTGGGGGCTTCTTGGGAGCCTCTTTGGCCGTGTTATGGCGCTCCTAGCCCCCAAGACGCCGTCGGACGGCGTCTTGGGGGCCTCTCTGAACCGACTTGGGGCCATCTTGGGCCGTCTTGGAGGCTTCTTGGGCGGACTTGGAGGCATCTTGGGGCCGTGTTGGGCAGTCTGGGAGGCCATTTTGGGGCCGTCTTGGAGGCTTCTTGGGACATCATGGGGTCATCTTGGAGGCCTCTGGAGCCATCTTGGGGCGATCTTGAGGGCCTCTTGGGCCGTTTTGGGTGATCCGAAGTCCGATAAGACGCACATGCCCTTCTCTTCCAAAACCAAACGAAAGCCAATGCTATTGACCTCTCTAGCCGTTCTGGGAACCTCTTGGAGGCCTCTTGGGCCGTCTTGGAGGCGTGTGAGGGCTTTGGGGGCCGTCTTGGAGGCATCTTGGGCCGTCTTGGAGGCCTCTTGGACCATCTTGGGCGAGCTTGGAGGCCCTCGTGGGGCCGTCTCGGAGACCTCCTGGGCCATCATGAGGTCAGCTTGGAGGCCGATGAGGTCATCTTGGGGCGATCTTGGGGACCTCTTGGGCCGTCTTGGGCTGCCAGAAGGCCGATAAGAAGCAAATGCCGAAATGTTTCAACGACCTCAAATGAAACCATTGCTTTGGGCCTCTTCGAGTCTTCCTAGAGGACCTCTTGGAGGCCACTTGGGCCGTCTTGGAGGCCTCTTGGGGGCCTCTTGGAGCCATCTTGGGACGTCTGGGTGCCTCTTGGGCCGTCTTGGAGGCCATTCGGGACCCTCCTGGGCCGTCTTGGAGGCCATCTTGGACCATCTTGGGCGAACTTGATGGCCATCTTGGGCCACCTTGGCAGTCTTGGAGACGTTGGTTGCGCAGCGGCGGGGCCTCCTGGGTGGCGGGCGGCATGGACCGAAGCCTCAGGGGGGGGTCTTTGTGGAGCCGAACCAGACACAAGCCGTAGGATCCAGCACGCCAGGCACCCCACGTGATAGATCAAAAGGGGGCGGCGGATCGAAGACGCCTACGGCGAATCACCGCCGCCCCCTGCCTTTGTGGAAGCGCCTATGTAGCTGAACGTTGAGGCCAGACCTGCCAAGCCGTAGGATCTAGCACGCCAGGCCCCCCTGTGATAGATCAAAAGGGGGCGGCGGACCTCATGGCCTTTGGCCCATCCCGCCACCGTGCCTGGGCTCCGCGTATGGAGCCTGTCAGATGTTCGTCGGGATCTCGTGGGGGGCCTCTTGGAGGCAGTTTGGAGGGCCGTTGCGGGGCCTCTTGGGGCCTCTTGGGGGCCTCTCGGGGCCTCTTGGGGGCCTCTTGGGGGGCGGAAGGATAGAATTTTCGGTTCGTGCTCTCTCCTTTTGGGGCCGTCTTTGGGCCCTCTTGGGCCGTCAATCATTGTTGCCTCTTGAGGCCCTCTCGGGAGGCCTCGTGGGGCGTCTTGGAGGTTTCTTCGGCCAGGGTGAGGCCATCTTGGGCGTCTTGGGCCGATCTTTGGGCATCTCGGGGCCCTCTCGGACCGTCTTGGAGGCCGCTCGGGGCCCTCTTGGTCCGTCTTGGGGCCCTCTTGGGCCCGAGACCCAGGGGGCACGCGGGAGGCCCCAGGAGATTTCGGAATTGGGGGTCCGGGCCCCTCGAGGACTCTTCGGCAGTAAGGACTGAGGCCCCACTAGGCAGGGGGCCCGAGGACACGCCCACTCCGTGCCCAGAGGCACGATGGCGGAGATGTTCGGGTCAGACGTGCGCCTCCAGCAGAGGCACACCGTATGAGTATGTCCTTATGCGTCGCAAGAGCCCGGATTCGAGGTGCTCCGGCGCTGTCGATAGCTCCTGCGGGTTTTCCAGCCTCGGGTTGCCTTCCTGCAGCCGCGCCTCGCCGAGGGCATCCCATCCCCTCGGGGAGGGGTTGGAGCACCCGGGGGTCAGCGCCGTGCAAAGATCGTGGCGTCGGAGGCCTAGGTCGCTGCGCCCTTCCAGGCTGCACACGGACTGTTGGTTCGGGCCAGCTTTCACGAGTGACTTACAATACCCGTATCCGCACCCTCGCAGTCTGCATTCCGGGGCGCGCTCCTGCGGCTGCGCGGTCGCGCGGACACGTTCCGCGCGGGGCGTCCGCGACCCGCATCCGCGGGGTCGTGGCCCGTGGGCCCAGCCCGCGAGGCCGCGGATCTGGACGTGTTTCCCGCCTACGATTTTCCTCCCTCCCTCCCTCCTCTCGCGGGCGGCCAAGAGGGGGGTGATGACAAGGGGGGGATATCATGGCGGGGACCGTGATAGATCCCCAGATGTCATGGCGCCTCTTCTCATTGTGAAGTCCTTACGGCCGGTGCCGCCGACCCTGAATGACGACGACGACGACGACGACGACGACGACGACGACGACGAGCGCTCTCGGGGGCCTCTTGGGGGTAGTTTGGGGGCCTCTTGGGAAGCTCTTGGGAGCCGCCTGGGAGCCTCGTGGGGGCCTCTTGGGGCTTCCTGGGGGTCTCTTGGGGCTCCCTTGGGGGCTCTTGGGGGGCTTCTGAGGGGCCTCTGGGGGCTTCCTGAGAGCTTCTCAGACCGAGGGATCGAACTGTCCGCTCGGGTCCCCCGTCTGGGCTCCGGGCTCCCTCTTGGAGCCGTCTTGGGGGCCTCCTGCCTCCTCGGCTGTCTTGGAGGCCCCTTGGGCGGTCTTGGGGCCCTCCTGGGTCGTTCTGGAGCTCTCTTCGAGGCCTCTTGAGCCATCTTGGGGCGGTTTTGGAGGCCTCTTGGCCTGTCTTGGAGCGTCGGGAAGCTGACAAGGCGAGAATGCTGAAATCTTCCAAACACCTATGGGAAATCTACGTTTGTTGCCCCGTGGGGCCGTCTTAGAAGTCCTCTTGGAGGCCTCTTGGGGCGTTTTGGAAGCCTTTGGAGCCGTCTGGAGGTCACTTTGGCGACTTGGACCGACACTTGAGCGATTCGGGGTCCTCGAAGACCGTCGTGGGGACATCTTGGGGCACTTTTGCCGCGTCTTGGGGCTCTTCTAGGCCCCCGAACCGCCCGGGGGGGAGTCGTGTCTGCCCCAGGACCCCCCCCGGGACCCCGCTCTGGGACCCCCCCCCGGGACCCCACCCCCAGGACAACCGCCCTTGGCGGGGAAGTTCAAAGGGAAGGGGGTTGACTCAACTACAACGTTGCTCAATTTCGACGCGTCAAACGGAGCACCCTCTTCCACACGCCGACAGGGTCGGCGGATTTCATCACGTCCCCGGCCCCACCCTGGACCGCGCACATGCCGCCAGCCATGACTTGCGCCCCCCCCTCCTTGGACGCCCCCGAGAGCCGCAACACGTACTCTGCTCAAGACGTCCGCGTCAACACGTTGCGTGCTGGCTCAGCGTGTTGGCCCACGCTTTAACGAACGCATCGCGCCAGACCTGCGCTTCCAGTCTGCGGGTCGGGCTCCGTGTCGGCGCGCTACGTGTTACGTGCTGCGCATCGGGGCGGCTGAGGTCCCCGGCTGGCGCCTTCTCCACGCCCCGTCGGGAGCCATTTCGGCCTCCGGCGGTTCGGATCGATCCGATGCTTTCCGGAGGTCGACGTCGGTTCGATGCCGCGCCGGGTTCCGACGTCGGTTCGGGGCGCCCTTGTTCAGGCCTCGGCTCGGGCCGCGGGGCGTCGATGTCGATGCCCTCCGCGACATGCTTGCCGATTTCTGCCGATTCGATGTATCTCGATGGCCGACCCGATTTTCCCATTCGATGTTGGGTAGGATTGGCCCTTGCTTTGGGTCGGGGTTGGCTCCCACACGCCGGGCAGGCTGGTATGGCTGCTCCTGTGCGCAGAGCTCGACTGGACGCAAGAGTGACCTTTCGCCGGAGTGGCCTGTGGTGCGGGCACAGATGGGTTCCCAGGTGGCTGAAAGCGAGGCAGGAGCAGCGGCTTGCGCGCCCAGGTTTGGTCCCCCCCCTTGCCCCCCAAAAAGCCGCGCACCAAAGGTCATTCTTACCCAGGGCCACTCTTGCGGGTAGCCGAAGAGCTGTCTCTCGAGCTACATCCGCGAAGGAACTTCGCCGAGCCCGCTCGCGCACACCGTCGCCCAGCAGTGCGCACCGGGCCCGTCATAAATCACTTCGGGGCGGAAAGCATCGGTGGCGGCAAAGAGGGGGGTGATGACTAGGGGGGGTGGATATCATGGCGGGGGCCAAGAGATCTCCCCAGATTTCGAGGCGCCTCTTCTGATTTCCTTACGTCCCTGGCCCCCCCGCTGGGCCGCACACATGCCGCCGGTCATGATTTGCACCCCCCCTCTCTTAGACACCCCCCTCTTGGCCGCTCCCGAAAGCAGGCATTGGGGACAGGTGTAATCACGCCAGAGAAAATTATCCCAGTGCGACCCTACCTAGGAGTTGGAGCCCCTAGGAAAGCAGCATTAGTAGTAACAGTAAAGCTAAGCTAAAGCTAAGCTGAAGCTAAGCTAAAGCTAAGCTAAGGCTAAGCTAGCACAAACTCCTGTTTCGTCCGAATCCCACCCCCAGGGTGGAGGAGGAGGACGACGACGACGACGATGAAGACGCTTACCCCCGGACCTGATCCGGTGTGCGTTCTAACTGGAATTCCGAGGCGGATCCAGCAGTGGCCACCTGGGCGCCCCCCGAGGCCCAAAAAGGCCCCCCGAACGCGCTGCTCATCGAGCACCGACCCTCCCAGGACATCCGACGTCGCTATCGTGTCAGAACGTGGCCCCCTCGCGGTCTGGACCTCCTCCCAGGGACGGGCTTTCCCCGGAGTCGTGCTTCGACGCCCCAGAGGCCGAATGCTGCCAAGACTTGTTTGACGTTTGTTCCTGCCACGGCGCGAGGAGGCCACGGTCGAACATCGATATTCTCGGGCGAAGGGAACTATGCACATGCACCGATCCTGGCAAGGCCCATCCTTGACCCAGGATCGGTGCATATGCCTTCCTGGCCCAGGTAGGAGGGCGTATGCACCGATCCTGGGCTCAGGATGGGCCTGGCCAGAATCGGTGGTCGGCAACGGCAAAGCGGCGACCTCTCCTCCCCTCCCCCCCGCTCCCTTCCAGGTCAAGGGCAGGGCGGAGAGCTGCGCCAGGGTGCTGGACAAGATCGCATGGCCCGCCGCTCCGCTCCTCTCGGGCCTCCAGCGCCTTGCAGGAGGAGGAGGAGGAGGAGGAGGAGGAGGAGGAGGAGAGGAGGAGGAGGAGGAGGAGGAGGAGGAGGAGGATGAGAGGAGGAGGAGGAGGAGGAGGAGGAGGAGGAGGAGAGAGGAGGGGAGGAGGAGGAGGAGGAGGAGGAGGAGGCGGAGGAGAGGGGAGGAGGAGGAGGAGGAGGAGGATGAGAGGAGGAGAGAAGGAGAGGATGGGGTAGGGAGGGAGGAGGGGATGGGAGGAGGGGAGGGGAGGGGAGGGGAGGGGAGGGGAGGGGAGGGGAGGGGAGGGGGGGGAGGGGAGGGAGGAGGGAGGGGAGGGGAGGGAGAGGGATGGGAGGGAGGGGAGGGAGGGAGGGGAGGGAGGGGAGGTGAGGGGAGGGAGGGAGGGGAGGGGGAGGGGGAGGGGGAGGGGAGGGGGAGGGGAGGGGAGGGGAGGGGATGGGGAGGGGAGGGAGGGAGGGAGGGAGGGGAAGGGGGGGAAGGGAGGGGAGGGGGGAGGGGGAGGGGGAGGGGAGGGAGGGGGGGGGGGGAGAAGGGGGGGAGGAGGGGAGGGGAGGGAGGGAGGGAGGGGGAGGGAGGGGAGGGGGAGGGGGAGGGAGGGGGAGGGGGAGGGGGAGGGAGGGGAGGGGAGGGGGAGGGGGGAGGGGGAGGGGGAGGGGGGAGGGGGGGAGGGGGGAGGGGGGAGGGGAGGGGGGAGGGGGGAGGGGGGAGGGGAGGGGGGAGGGGGGAGGGGGGGGGGAGGGGGAGGGGGAGGGGAGGGGGAGGGGGAGGGGGAGGGGGAGGGGGAGGGGGAGGGAGGGGGAGGGGGAGGAGGGGGAGGGGGAGGGGAGGGGAGGGGGAGGGGAGGGGAGGGGGAGGGGGAGGGCGGGGAGGGGAGGGGGAGGGGGGGGGGGGGGAGGGGGAGGGGGAGGGGAGGGGGAGGGGGAGGGGAGGGGGAGGAGTGGGGAGGGAGGGGGAGGGGATGGGAGGGGGAGGGGGAGGCCGCCGATCCGACTCGTGTCGACTTCCGATCCGACTTGTCGATTCGATTCTGGGCTCTCCCACCTCGGCCCTTGCTTGGCCACGTTCGCTGGCCGCGCCCCGCTCGAGGGGTGTCGACATCGCCCTCCGAGGCCCTCGCATTCTTAAAGTGCACCCTTGTTGTTCGCAGTGACTGCATTGTCGAGACCATGACTGACACCTGACCTACCGCGTCGTGAACACGTAGCAAGCTGCGTTTTGGGGCAAATCTTCGGCATCCATAGGCCCTCACCAGGCCCCAGGACCGTCAACAAATTGCCGCGGCCTCTGGGACAGGGGAACCCGGACCTCTGGGGGAGCAAGTCGTGGAAAAAAACACGATTTCGGATGTCTGGTGACAAAGGCCCTTCGCCAGGTTCGGTACGCGGGAGTCACTTATGGGCCCTGAGACCATGATCAAGCAATCTGGGACGAATGCACTTTCCTTGGGGGCCCAGAAGGTCCAGTCCCGATTCTAGCTCGAGGAGGGCCCTCCCGTGCCGCCTACATCCGCAACATCACGCGCTGGGGCCCAAGGCTCGAGAGATTCTGGCAGGTCCTCTGTGCGGCGCGGACGTGATGGGTTTCGTTGAACTCGATGCAGCGGCGAGAGGGTGCATGATATGTTGCGTGACGTTGATGCCCGCGCTTGGACGGCGACGGGGTGCCCGAGTCGCAGCTACAAGAAGATAGAAAACGCGGTCGGAGCAACCCTTGCTGCGAGGGGAGCATCTGCAACCCGCCTCGTTCGGCCTCCTTTTCAAACAAGTCTCAGACGCTTGGTCAGCTTCACCACCGCGGGCCTGAGCCTGTCTTTCGCCCAGGGCCGAGCGACTTCTACGAGTTCCCAGCGATTGTGGTGGCGATGTCGAAAGGTTAACGGCGGTGGCGATTTGCTTGACCACAAGCACGGGCATCAAAGGGGGTGAACGCTGCCAAGTTGCAGCACCTGGGCAGTCTGCTGAAGGCCATCCGCGGGGACTGGCGGGCGCTTTTCTATTGGAACGCACCTCCAGAAGAGCTTGCGGAGAGTGGTTATGACAAGCATTGGCGTGGCATGATTCAGAGCCCTCACAACACGAGCTTCACGCAGCATGGGGGTGGCCGCATTCTGGACTACGGTCCCGTCGTGTATTTGCCAATCTTCCGGACGCGCATCGCTGCCACGTGGGCTCGGCGACGCAGGTTAAGGGCCTTCCGTCGACCGCCAAAACCATGACCCTGCCGACGCCCTCCGTCCAGGTTTTACAATTTGCCAGCGCCGCTTGAGGCGCGAGGCTCACAAGCGCAGCATGCGCAGGACTGAGCTTGAGGCGGCGGCTGCAGCAGTTCGTGGCTAGGAGCTGCACGGCGATGAGAGCGCCGAGGGTGGGGAAGTCAGGCCGGCGGACAAACGATATTCAGAGGTGCCGATGCCGCCGCTTCCGAGTCCGCGCCTTGCGCCCTCCCGAGCGGACGGGGAGGATGTGATATGGGACGGCGGGGAGGCCCCCCAGGAAGCATGGAATCCCAGACGGCAGGGGGGGGGGGTCACAAAGGTTGCCCTCCTCCCCCTCGTCGGGATGCTTTCGCGGTGATGCGCCCGACCGATGTGTGTCACCCCCCTTTGTGGGGCTCGCATCCTCGGGGGGGTCAGGATGAGCGCGGGAGAAGGACGGGGTGTTGGATGGTGAGCATGAGGATGAGGATGATGAGTGCAGGAGGTTCGAGGAACGGGGAGGAGCTCCATCCTCCAGTAGCATCTCTCCTCATCCGCCCCTGCACCCTCTCCCCTCGCCTCCTTGTTTCATCCTACCTCATCATCAATACCTTCTCTTCTAAAAGTCCCCCCTCTCCCGCATGGCGCGTCCTCTCTCATCCCGCCTCTTTCTCTCTCCATCCCCATCCATCTCCCCCGCCTCCTCTCTTCTTCGTCGGCCATACATTCCTGTTCCTCCTCCTCCTCGTCCTCATCCGCCTCCATGATGCCTTTCCTTCGATGGCGAGAGGCCGTCGCCTGTCTAGCATGCGTGACGCGATGCGGCGATGCGGTGTAATATTGCCAGTCCTTATCCTGCTTGAAAGTTGGCCTCCTCGTTCGGGCCCCTCTTTGCAGCGCTGCAGGAGGAAGAGGAGGAGATCCCACAGTCAGAGCAGCAGCATTTGAGAGTATAGCAGTAGCGGTTGGGACATCCCCGTCTCTTTTGCCGCTTGTATTCAGTCCTATCTTGGAGCGCCTGAGGTGGAATGGTTTGGCGGGGATGCGCCAGAGCATCCGCGTCCCACGCGTGCAAGCGTCGCACCTGAACGTGCGGGACGGCACGACCGTGACCAGCTTGGTCGCGCCAGAGAGCAACGAGGAGGAGGAGGAGGAGGAGGAGGAGGAGGAGGAGGTTGGAGGAGGAGGAGGAGGAGGAGGAGGAGGAGTATAGTAGGAGAAGGTGGACGCCCGAATAGGATTAAGATAGTAGGAGATAGTAGGAGAAGGAGAATATAGTAGGAGTATAGTAGGAATAGGAGGAGGACAATTCGATTAATGATGATGATGCTGGTAATAACAACAATACTAATCCTAGTAATAGAGAGGTGGTGACGCGATTGCCGGGTCCCGGTCCGCGGGCAGTGGGCCGTTCCTGGAAGAGTTCCGAGGTGTGAGGATGTGTGATGTCGTGGCTGTGCGGTGTTTGCTGGCGGGCGCGCGCAATTGCCACGAAATGGTGTATGCCACATTCTTCGGGGGAGAAAAAGATACGGATACGTGTTGTCCCCCCTCGTTTTCGGCCTTTCCTGGTCCTCCTGGGGAATCCTCGTTGTCACCGCTGGATTCGCCTCGAAATTCTGGTCAGAACGCACCCCAAGAGAGGTCCGGGGACAACACGTATCCGTATCTTTCCGCCCCCCAAATTCTAATCGTGATTTGTCGTTTTCCGAGTACCCGATGGATCACAAGCATCCCCAAGTCCTGTCTGTTCCTCTGTGGGATCCTCCTCAATTCCCACATCCCTCCCGATTCCTGCTTCTTTCTTCGTAAGGGCTTCGCCAACCCCCAAATCCTCCCCAACTCTGGCGTCGTTCTGCGTAGGCTTATCCCCACGCCCCAAATCCGACCCATCTATTGCTGATTTCCTTCGTGGACCCCTCCCCCATGTTCAAATCCTCCCCAACTCCTGGTTTTGTTGCCGAGCCCCTCACAACTTCCAATGCATACCCAGCTCCTGCGTTTTCTTATGTAGACCCCCCCCCGATTCCCAAATCGTCCCCCTCTCCTGCCTTTTCCTTGTGTGGAATCCTGCACACGGCCCGAATCATCCCCAACTCTTGCTCTTTCCTCTATCGAATCTCTCCCAAGCCCCGCATTCTCCCCAACTCGTCCGTACTGGAATCCTCCCCAAGTGTGACACCCTCCCCAACACCTTTTTTTTCCTGTTGTAGAACCTTTCCCGATCCCCAAATCCCACCCAACTCTTGTGTAATTTCCTTTGTCTACCCCCCCCCCCCTCCTCCCCTCAAGTTTCAGATCCTTCCCAACTCTTGCGTGTTCCTTTTGTAGAATCCTTCCCAGTGTATAAATCATCCACAATTCATGTTTTTTTCCCAGGTGGAATCTGTCCAAATCCCAGATCCTCCCCAACACTTGATTTTCCTGTTGTAGAATCCACCCCCCTCCCCAATTCCCAAATCCTCCCCAACTCCTGGGAGTTGTACGTGAATGATCTATGCGCGGTCGTAATTAGTTTTTCGGCTCAACGCATGAGGCCGGAGGTTGGCGTCGGTCTTCTCATGATTGGACTTGCGAGGGAGGTCACTTCGCTAGCTTCACTTCCCAATCGACACCAGTGCCCAGATTGCTTCTGTGATTGCCGCCTTTCTTCGGAGTATCCGAGGACGGCCGATTGTGTGTGTCCGCTGCCGCAGGTGCAGCAGCCCGTGTGCGGGAGCCGCCCGACTTTTTCGTCAGGACGTGCTTCGTTACTCCTCGGGCGCGTACGTTTCCCTTGCCAGTACTGGCCCCTTGGGAGTGCTACTCAGAGCTGCAGCTGTTTGTCTACTCTCTCGGTTTTGCGGACCTCTCCGTGTTGCTGCCCCTCTTCGTGGAGGGCTCGGTCGCATCGAGCCGTGATGGCGGGAATCGCGGAGGCGCCGCCAGGGAGCTATGCCATCTACTGGTACAAGGGGTCTGCCTACGGCCATGGTCGGATTTTGCTGAGGGGAGCTGGGGCTCTGGAAGACAAAAGTATCGGGGAGGGGCCCACGCCTGATTTCGATGTCTGTGCGAAGGGGTGGACAGCTACGGGTGTTCGCGGGCCGATCAGAGTTGAGGTGGAGCCCTGGGACAAGTTTTCGGATCTGAGGGCCAAGGTGTCGCAGGTCACCGAGTTCGAAGGGCTCAAGGAGATGTCGCACGGGAGAGCTCAGGGCGGCCAGTTCGCGAGGTTCGATAGCCGCGACTTCGCCAACTTCGGCTCGGTCGTCGCGGCGCTCGGGTGCTTCAAGGAGGACGGTTTCGGCAGCTACTTCGCGGGCCGCAAGTTCCCTCTCTTGGCGGACCTGGGGGTTGCTCACGCGCTCGACGATCGTGGTGGAGTCCCTGGGACGCCCGCGGGGCGCTACGCGCTGATGGGGGTCCTTGCGGGCCTGCAGCTCCCCGGCGCAGGTGAGGAGCCTGGCAAGACGGGGGGTGAGGTCGTGAGCGCGCTTGCGGGGAAGTCCAATGCTTTCACCCGCAGGGTGCGCGCTTGGGTGGTCTCGATCAAGGAGATGGTTGAGGTCACCTTCTTGGTCTGTTCCTCGGATGACGTTCGTGCCCTCCTGTGGTTGATGACGTCGCTGGTTCAGCTGGGAACGGTGCCCACGTTCTGGTTCACGCGCCATCACGTGGCGGCGCGTTGGAGTGAGAACGATCGCTCCTCTCAAGAGATGCGGGAGAGGGTGGATGCGTTCAAACTAGCTGCCTCGCACGATCGGTGCAACGCCGTTTCGCTCGCGGCCTCCGCGAAGGCGGGGCGGAGAGGGCAGTCCAGACCAGAGGCTCATGGCAAGAACCCAACGATCCCGATCTACGAGATGGCCGACAAGCTCTTGCGCTACAACCGCCCACCTCAGCGCGCGGTGCATGCGCCTTACACCTACGTGGCCAAGGTAGTGCGAGAGCGGGCGGGGATCGACAGACAGACCAGCAAGGCCAAGGCTTCGGAGGACGAGGCCGAGGTCGCCCTCGAGCGCGGGATGGCCGCAGGGAAAGGCAAGGAAAATGAGAAGGGCAAGGATGAGTGACGCCTCCACCCTTGCCAGCAAGAGCAGACGTAGCGTTTGCCGCAGTCGCCGCGCGGTAGGCGCGCTGACAGGCGAGAGTGATGCGCAGGGGGCACGACGAGTGCCGCTGTTTCCGCTCGAGTTGTGCAACCACTCGGCTTCTCCGCCGACGCGTCTCTCGAGAAGATGCAGGCGGGGAGCCAACCTCAGGAGCCATCAATCGCGTGAGTCCGGGGAGGTCCTGACGGGCCTCAACTGGCTGTATTCCCGAGCTTCGAGCCCACTCGTTCGCCAAGAAGTGGTGAGTGAGGTGCGCGATTTTGTTGCGGGTCGGGTTGCCCAACAGCCGCCTGTGCCGCATTTTTTGAGCAAGGAGGGAGCCGTGCGCGAGCTCCTCCAGAGCAAGTGTGGTTATGACCACGCAGCCTCCACTGTCGCCCAGTTCGACCGAGCCCTCGTACTGCCCGATGGGGGTCCAGGACAGAAAGTTGCTTCAGGACTTGGTCTCCCAGGAGGACAGAGAGGCGGCGGTGAACTTCAGGGGGGCATGATGAGAGATGTGAAGGAAGTGATGCAAATGAGAGACTACGGCGAGTGTATTAACCCGTATTTTGATCCGAAGCTTCGCACTCGACGGCGCGAGTACGTTCGCTTTTTAAAGATGTTGCACAGGCGTGGTCTGATCAGGTGGTTGACTACGCCCAAAGAGATTGCCACCCTGTTTTTCGTTTGGAAAAAGGATGGGAGACAGCGGCTTGTCATCGATGCGAGGCGCACTAATCAGCTCTTCCGAGATCCTCCTAGTACTTTGTTGGCCACGCCCGAGAGTTTCGCCCGCTTGGAGGTGGAGGAAGGTGTTGAGCTGTATGAGGCGTCTCTCGACGTGGACAACTGCTTCCACAGAATAGGTATAGACAGCGACTTGGGCGATTACTTTTGCCTGCCCCCCGTTCGAGCACGAGAGCTAGGTCGAGCACGCGTTCGGGGACGGGAGATTCCTGGAGACGGGCTGGTGTGGGCCGCCATGGCCGTGCTCCCCATGGGGTTTTCCTGGTCGGTCTTCTGGGCCCAGCGTATCAATACTCGCTTAGTAAGGGAGGCATCTGGGATGGAAAGCTCTATGGCGGTGGAAGACAGGGGGGACGGCCTCGTCATAGGTAAGAACTCCGCGCCCGTCTTTTACGCGCATGTGGACAACGTGGGGGTCTTGGGAGCTGACAAGAAAGAGGTCCGGAAGTCTTTGGATAACATCAGAAACGTTGTTGACGCTAACAAGATGCAGTGCCACGAAGTTCAGGAGGCTGGGCAGGTTAGGGATGCTCTGGGGGTCGAGTTCAACGGAAAGCTAAAGTGTTTCAGGCCTTCGGGAAAGCGATACTGGAAGATTCGTTTGACTCTGGAGGCGTTTCTGGAGGCGCCCAAGGTAACTGGAAAAGCCCTCGAGGTTCTTCTGGGAAATTGTACCGACCTCGCTATGCTACAGCGCCCTCTACTCTCCTGCTTCGCATCGGTCTACAAGTTCGCTCGGAGGTGCCGGCGCTCTTGGGCCCCATTGTGGGCGACGGCGCGCGAGGAGCTCGAGGCGTTCCTTTACCTCATGCCCCTTATCCGCTCGGACTGGTCCCGGGGCTGGCTTGGGAAGGTGTTAACATATGATTCCTGTCCCGAGGGTGCGGGGGCTTGCGCTGATACTAGGTCTTCTGCCTGGGCGGCCGCTCAGGGGAGAGTTCAAGAGAGAGCTAGATTTGCTCGTCGCGACGCTGCGCAGGCTCGTGGGCACGTGCTTTCTTGCCTCGACCGTGATGACCCGCTCGTGTTTGTGACGCCACCGCCGTCTCTCGAGGACGTCTCGGAGCTCTGGGAGCAAGACCTTTCGTTTCCCGAGGTGCCGCTCGAGGGGCTTGTAGGAAAAGACTGGGAGGTGCTTTTCTGTCATTCCTGGAAGAGAAAGATGGCAGCACATGAAGGAGAAGCCAGAGCTGGAGTCCTTGGGATCGCTAACGTCGCTCTGGAACCTGGAGTTCATAGTTGTCGCCTTCTGGCTCTTGGGGATAACCTCGGTGTCACGCTCAGCTTTGCGAGATCCAGGGCCCGTGATTTTCCTCTTCTGGTCCAGGTTCGGCGAGCGTCGGCGCTGTCGTTGTCCCGCAACCTCTTCGTGGGATTCAGGTGGGCCCCGAGTGAATTCAACAGCTCCGACAAGCCTTCAAGGGGCCCTGGTCTGCGACGAGGGGATGCAGTCGACTTGATCGCCACGCCTGCTATATATATATATATATATATATATATATATCGTCTCGCTCGAGACCAGCAAAGCTCCGTAGCCGCTTCGGCCAAAAATGAAGTTCCACGATGCTCTACTTCTGCATTGGATTGGGCTCGTCATGTCCTTGGTGAGGAAGGCGAGGAGAGCAGCGACGACGGACGAGAGGGAAGTTCGTGCGCCCCGTTGGCGGACGGACCCATGGCCACTGGGAAAGAGGTGGCGGGCTACTCTACAACGGGGTCGCGACCGCCTCGCCATGCCAATACTGTTGGACGAGGCGGAGGGGGAGGCCAGCCGCCTGGAAGATTCGGACGGCACGACCTCGGAGGAGGATGGCAACCCGCTCGTGCAGGAGCGCATGCTGAAGCGCGAGACCCACCATGCGAGGATGGCAAAGGAGCCAGGTATGCAACACGCCTCGGTGCTAGAACGAAGCTCGGCAGAAGAGCAAACCTGGACACAACATCGAAAGTCAGATCAAAGCCTGGTCGCATACGTCGACGAGTGCAGGCTGGAGACCGACAAAGTGCAGTTTAACGTGGCCACCGTCGACTTCATGACCCACAGGTATATGCTGGGCTACGACGCGGGATCAGGCCAGAAGCTGATCGAGGCCATTTTGTTCTTCCAGCCTCGCTTCGGCGGCCCTGCCCCGCCGACCATGAAAGTCAACGCTATGTGGCGCGTGCCTACACACAGGTCAGACCTCCACCAGGTCTCGAAGGTTGGGAACCAGAGTATTTCCATCTTGTGGAAAACTCAGGGTTTTGACTGTATGGCCGATTTTCTTCAGATTCTAGCCGTCGTGACAGATGACAGCTTGTGGCAGTTTACTCATCGAGAAAGTGCGGAATTTGTAAGCAAGGCCGTCTGTTCGGCCAAGACTGTGAGATTACCTGGTACGCCATGCTGGTGCTTCCTGGACATATATCAAAAGCATCGCAACCGTTACTCTGTGCAACGTCGTTGTGGTTGGATGTCTACCAAAAGTGTGCAGCGCTGCAAGAAGTCATGCATGATGATGATAGACTACGCTCGGCTTCATTTGGCGCTGCGCTGCTGGTTGGAGGAGCAGTTGAACACGCTGAAGAACTAGACTCTTAGAGGCCGCGCAATGCTGCCGTCGCCTCCGCTCCTTTGCAGCGCCCGTGCAAAGCGTGTGCTACCCCTCCCAACACAGCAGGATAGGTGACACATCGTGTTATGGGTGATATGGGTGAGATTTGAGCCGCCGTGCTTCGTCTTACCCACGCTCGTGTGCAGTCAGACTCCAGACGGCTCTGGCATCAGACACTAGGAAACTGAGAAACAGAGCGCGGGGGGGATCATGGGAGTTGTACGTGAATGATCTATGCGCGCTCGTAATTAGTTTTTCGGCTCCCCGTGGCCTGACCCAAGCCAGTTTTCATTCCTTCATATCGGGTGAGATTTGAGCCGCCGTGCTTCGTCTTACCCACGCTCGTGTGCAGTCAGACTCCAGACGGCTCTGGCATCAGACACTAGGAAACTGAGAAACAGAGCGCGGGGGGGATCATGATTCTTCCTTTGTAGACTCCCCCCCCCCCATCCCCCGCCGTTATCCTCCTCATCCTCCTCCTCCTCATCCTCGTCCTCATCCTCCTCCTCCACCTCCACCTTTCCTCCTGCTCCTCCTTCCCCTCTTCCTCCTCCTACTCATCCTCCTCCTCCTCTTCCTCATCCTCCTCCTCCTCCTTTTCCTCCCTCCTCCTTTCTCCTCTCCTCACTCCTCCTCTTCCTCCTCCTCCCCTCGCCCTCTCCTCCTCTACCACCCTCCTCCTCCTCCTCCTCCTCCTCCTCCTCCTCCTCCTCCTCCTCCTCCTCCTCCTCCTCCTCCTCCTCCTCCTCCTACCCCTTACCCCCTGGGCGGGCCGCCGAAGATCCCCACCCCCCGGGGGCTGGTTTTTGTACTCTGGCTCGGCTTGTTGACGGCCCTGGGGCCTGACGGCGGACCCCCACGGACCCAGATCACAGAAAAACATTCGCCGGAGAGGACAAAACACCATAAGCATAAACTTTTATCCAGCAAATCCTCCCCCCCCTCCTTAGGAGCCCCTCCTACTTCCCTCCATCCTGAGGGCCCAGACATCCGACGTCGTGACCTTTTCGCAGCGCGGTTCCCTAGACGTCGGGGCCTCTTCCCTGGGGGAGCAGCTCCTCGCTCCAGGCACGCCGCTGTTCGACCGCCCCCGGGCCGTTGGTCAGAGTCCCTGGAGGCCGAAGGTGGCCCCGCAAAAAATCCAGTTGCGCTGCCGCGCGAGTTCGCCACCGCGCGCGAGCGGGCGGGGGGAGGGGCGCCCTGGTTGGAGGGTTGGGGGGGAGGGGCCACGGACCCCTCCAGGGTTCATTTCGAGTCCTCCGATTCGATTCGAATTCGGTGGCTTCCAATTTCTATTCGATCCAACTTTGGGTTCCGATTTGGGCTCCGACTCCTTACTCGAGGCCTACCACCTTGCCGATGTACGCCGATTCGACTTTTCCCGACTCGGCTACCGATTTCCGCCGATCCGATTCATTTCGATCGCCGATCCGACTTATCGATTCGGTTTTGGGCTCTCCTGCCCCTCCTTCATATATCACGTCTTTCAGACAAGGTTAAGATACTTCGCGATCCCTTCCACGACGCAAGGATGTCCGGGGAATCCAGACCTCTGCGGGGCAAAGCGGTGAAAAATCATTGCGCCGGATGTCTGGCAAATGGGAAGCAGAGGCAATGATAGAGGGGGTGATGAGCTCGGCGGGGGGCGGAGCGAAATAGACCCCGATCGCCCCTTCATCGCCGATCTAGGGCTGGGTACCTCACCCTGCCCGGGAACGTGCTGTTTCGCTATAATCGTCAGGCGTTGCGTATTGGGGGCAATACATCGGTGGATGAAGAGCGGTGATCGTTTGTGCTATCGAGGGGCTCTCTCCAAGGAGGCACGAAGGGTGCACGTTTCTTCGGCACCCAGTCGTCGCCCCTCTCATTGAGCAACGCCCACCATCGGGGACCTGTCGCCGATCGATCGGCGATGTGACTCGCCGATTCCAGGTCCGATCCAGAAGGAGGAGGGCGAGGACGAGGACGAGGACGAGGACGATGATGCTGATGATGATGATGATGATGATGATGATGATGATGATGATGATGGTGATGATGATGATGATGATGATTCTCCAGGCTCACGCCACATCCGCCGACCCCTTGATTCGTACCGGCGGCTATCGCCGCGTTTCCGCCTTCACTGCTCGTAGCTGCCAGGCGTTACAGCGCAGTGGCAAGTGCCAGAAGAAAAGATTGAGAGGCATGGCGTCTCGGAGCTCCCGTGGGCCGTCTTGAACGCCTCTTGGGGCCATCTTGGCCCGTCTTGAGGCTTCCTGGAACCCGGCAAAGCCCCGGCGGCGCTCGTCCCGGGCCCGGCGGCGCTCGTCCCGGGCCCGGGGGGGGGGTCTCTGGTGCGCTCTTGGTTCGTTTTCGGGCCCTTTGCTCCCCCCGGCGGCGTTCGAGCCGGGATCCACCAGAGCTCGGATGACCCCGGCTCGAACGCCTCTGGGCTAAATTTGTGGAAAAAAGTACGTTTCACGAAGGGAACGGGCCAATTTTTGCGCCGAGGGGCCCTCCTGGGACGCATCTTGGAGGCCTCTTGGGGCCTCTTGGGGCCGTCCTGGGCCGTCTGGAGGCGATCGTCGGTGTCTTTGATCGCTCTTCGACCGTCTGTGACCATATTGAGCTCTCTTGGAGGCAACTTGAAGCGCTCCTGGAGCGCTCTTGGGGCCGTCTTCGGGGCCCTCTGGGGCAATCTTGGGCGCCTCTTGGGCTGTCTTGGGGCTCTGTTGGGCTGCCTTGGAGCTTCCCTGGAGGCTGCTTGGACCGTCTTGGGGCGGTATTTAGGGCCTCTTGGGCCGTCTGGGGCCGTCTGGGAGCGTCGGAAAAACCAAAAAAACGAATTCGTGAAAAATGTACGTTTTACGAAGGGAATGGGCCAATTTTTGCGTCTAGGGACCCTCGTGGGACGCATCTTGGAGGCGTCTTGGGGCTTCTTGGGGACCTCTTGGGCCGTCTTGGAGGCTTCTTAGCCCGTCTTGGAGCCATCTTGGGCGTCTTGGAGCGCTCGTTTGGCGTCTCGGAGCTCCCGTGGGCCGTCTTGAACGCCTCTTGGGGCCATCTTGGCCCGTCTTGAGGCTTCCTGGAACCCGGCAAAGCCCCGGCGGCGCTCGTCCCGGGCCCGGCGGCGCTCGTCCCGGGCCCGGGGGGGGCGCTCGTCCCGGGGGGCGCTCGTCCCGGGCCCGGGGGGGGGGGGTCAAATCGCCGGTTTGGGGTCCCGGGGGGGGGACTATAGGGGGGGGAACTATCTCACACGCCTAGAGACCCACAAGGGGTCGGCGGATAATGATAATGATGATGATGATGAGGATGCAGGAGGAGGAGGAGGAGGAGGGGGAGGAGGAGAAGGAGGGAGGAGGAGGAGGAGGAGGAGGGAGGAGGGAGGGAGGAGGAGGAGGAGGAGGAGGAGGAGGAGGAGGAGGCCCCCCCTCCATGGAGAGGGAGGGCAGGGGCCGCGGGCGGCGGGCGCCTGCTGCGGCTCCCGCCCGCTAGTTTCCGATCCCCCCCCCCCCCCGGGAGCCTTGGCTGCCACGAGGTCTGGTCGACGGCCATCGCCTTCCTGGCGTACCCTTGGAGGGAGGGGGGGGGGGCAGCATGGGCAAAAAATAGGGTTAGGTCGGGCATGTCCACCTAGATGGGGAAATTGGACGAGAAAGTAAACAGATTTTGCAAATCTTATACAATGCGCAAAAATACAACAACAACAACAACAACAACAACAACAACAACAACAGTTACTAGCACGTGGGGACACACCGTTCTCACCAGTGCCAGGGTTTTCATAGGAGGCGGGCAATACCCCCACTTTGTGGGGGGGCCGGTTCAAGCTCTACCAAATTTCCAAACGACTCTTCGCCACCACCCACACCCAGCTTCCCGCCCTATGACGTTCGGACACTTCACTTCGTGGCATGCGGACGACCGTGGCTACTATTCAGGGCCCCGCGGCCGACGACGACGGCGTGCGCGCGCGAAGAAAAAACGAATGTGTCCCGCATGGTATTATTTGACAGGGATGATGGCCCTGGCAGGTGCGCAACCGTTGTTGCAGAAGTTCGAAAAAGTTGCTCGCAAAAGCCCGTTTGACAGAAATGATTAAAAAGTGTTGGGTTTCCTACGAATCCGCAAGAGCGCGCGGGATGAAATTTTGACAATTTTTTTTGAAAAACCATTGGTTTTTTGATGTTTTTATGTTAAAATCGCTACGAAAACTAAGGTTTTGGAAGGATTTCGTCTTGCGCGCGCGAATGTCCACTTTACCTTATTTTTTTGCAAGGGATTCTTGAAGTTTGGTTATGTTAGAACAAGAAATGTCCACTTTAGCTTATTTTTTGCAAGGGAAAACCGATCGTAACAACACAACCGGATCCGGACACCCACGTTTTGCCTGAGACTTCCTCACGAAAATGATGAAAATGTGGCTGCGGCCTAGGCGCGGCGAGGGGGCCGCGCACCAGGGGTCCCAACAATAATTATTCTTTAGAATAAATAATGATCAACAACAACAACAACAACAACAGCAGCAGCAGCAGCAACAACAACTCCCCCGACTATTGTTTAACTATGTTTGGATATTCCCCCTGTAGGGGGGACAGGCCCGACTTAGACATAGGGGGATGGGCGCAGGGACAGCGCTCAGGGGCAGCGGATCTCGGCGGCTTTCCAGCGTCGCGATGCCTTCCAGCGGCTGCGCCTCGCCGACGGCATTGCGGGGTGCCCAGATCGTCCCCAACGGGCGACGCGGAGCCGAGGTGTGTCCCGAAAACTAGGGACACCGTTAGGGGGGGTAGGCTTAGGGGGAGACGCATCGACCCCAATCGCCCATTGATCGCCGATAGGGGTCTGATAGCCCCACCCCGCCCAGGAAGGCGCGGATTCGCCATCGGGGGCACATCGCCGATCTATCGGGGATGTATCGCGGATTCCAGGTCGATGCTCCTACCCCTGAGTCAGTCCCCCCCGAGCGTTGCCCCTCAGTGGAGGGGAAGGTTGCGACACCGCTGCTCTCTTGTTGTTTTTTCTCGCGTAGCGTTTCGCCAGAGGCTTCTCATAGTATCAACAAGTGGCCACAGAAGAGTCCCACATGGGAGGACGGGGTGTCGATTGAGATTCGAAATACTCTCGACACCCATTATCGTCACGCACTCTAAGCCTCGCGATGATGTCTTGATATTTCGAGATCCTCGATGTCATCGAGACCGTAGTACAGGACGAGGTAAATCGCACATGAGAGAAACTTACAATGTCTTTTGATACATTGTAATAGTAGGATGTATGCAGTTGGTTTGTCGGGGCTCCGACACGATCCGTATATGCTTTATTGTAGCTCATGGTGCTTTGTTAAGACAAACCGGCAGCGGTCCCAATGCATCATAACGTACGCAGTACAACGCGAGAGGGAACGGTAACCGTTAAGAGCAATCGTCACCGGTCCCAAGATAGTAACAATGCATGCATGGCCGTACATCAAGCATGTCATATCTCCAGCAGTTCGTGCTGGTCTGTCCATTCAAATCCGCGAGACTCAGGAACGCTCGAACCGACAGTTGGACTGGTGTTATGATCGCTTCGCAACATCACAATAAACACTCAGTTCTAACAAACTCGGACACACAACCTTGGCGACCCAGCTTTTCGAAAGCGTCAGTGTAAAATGTGGAAGTAGTTATTGAGCGGGCGACCCCATGCAGACGCCTACGCAGGCGGCGCAAGTACTGCTCCACCTCCTGCGCACGGGGGCCTGCCTGGCCCTTCTATTAGGACACGTGCTAGCGGCAAACTTGGCACGTGAGGCTGTTCGCGCAGAGGTTCCGACTGGCGTAGACTTGGTGCCCACGCCGCACTCGACAAGGGTTGTCTCGGACACCGTCGGAGTTGGGCCTCTGCGACGCCGGTCGACGACCACAGGTACTGGGTCGCTCGGCAGAGCGACAGCAAAAGCGGCCTGGGGTGCCGGAACAAGCGCCCTGGCTGCACCCGTTCGGCTGCCTCTCGTCCTCCTCCTCCTCCTCGTCCTCCTCATCCCTCTCTCTCCTCTTCCTCCTCCTCCTCCTCCTCCTCCTCCTCCTCCTCTTCCTCCTCCTCCTCCTCCTCCTCGTCCTCCTCCTCCTCCTCCTCCTCCTCCTCCTCCTCCCTCTCTCTCCTCCTCCTCCTCATCCAAGTCCTGGGGCAGCAGCCCCTAACTGTCGCTCCCCGAACATGGGTAGAACGAGTTTGGCGGGCTGGCTGGCACAGAGACCTGCACGGGGCTGCCTGGCGCAGGCGGCTCGGACTCACGTAGCACCACCTTCACGGGCGTCTGCACACACAGTCCGTACACGTACTTGCGAGGTACGTGGTGATCACCATTGTCGCGAAGGTACACGCCGGTTGTTGAAAGTAGGTATTCTTGGATTCCCACATCCCAATCTACTTCAAGCGCCTTCCTACAGGACTCGGCACGCTTTTGTTCTGTTTTGTTATTATCTGGGAGGACCTGGACCCAATATACTATATCCGCCTTCCTACTTCATGTTTCTACCTACTTCTTCCGACAGGTCTTGACGGCGAGGTACGTGGTGATCACCATTGTCGCGAAGGTAAACGCGATCTTCATCCAGTAGAATTCGTCGCCGTCTAGGGTCCACATCTCATCCTCGTACCTCTTGTCGTAGTAGCCGTTGTAGTTGTTCTCGTGGCCGTCGGCGGGTACTATCTGGCTTGTCGCCGTAACAATTGTCGCCAGCTGGCTCGCCATCCTGGCTCTTTGTTTGGACGGGCTGCCCTTGTCGCTGTTGCTCGCCTGGCCCTTGTAGAAATGGCCTCGGCAACCGTATCGAAACACTTTCCCACTCTGGTCTGCACTGTCCGCCACCAGCTCGTCATACCCGTACCGTCTTCTTTCTTCTGCCATGTACACAGGTGTGGCGATATATGTTGCTGTGTTCAACTCCCGCTCAGTGGCATCTCGCTGTACTTTCGTCAGCTTCTTTCCTGCCGTGAAGTGGGGATTGTATTTGATTGCATGGAGTCCTCTCTGCCTGACCGCGAGGTTCGTCCTAGTAGCACATTTCGTTTTACCGTCGGCCAGCTGCTGCTGAGCATTCGCCCAACACCAGTATCCACCCGACGCTGCGATTCCCTCCTTCGTAATCTTCACCTCGATAGCCCAGCCCTCCTCTTCTCCTCGATGCCGAGTCCAGCCGCCATGCTTAGCGACGCATCGTACACGCGTCCTGGCGCACTCCTGAAGAGGGGGGCGTGATCCTGGTCGTCGGTCGTGGTTTTCGTCGGCTCTTGGAGGACATCCAGCCGCGGGATGCCCTCCTGCAGCTGCGCCTTGCCGAGAGTGTTCGAGGGCTACCCGAAGCGTCCCGAGCGGCCTCCGCGCGGCTTAAAGGGAACGGACCAGAATTACCATACATCTTTCGCTTGTTGCTTAGTCGCATGTTGCCTTGTTGCCAGGGGGTGAGGTCTTCAGGATGTTTCAGCACTGCTGGGTCTCCGTCAGGATTCTAGTGGATCCTTGTTTGGGTACCCGAGGGTCCCGTCGGATTCCCTTCAGATTATTTCGGGTTCCATGGTTGCTCGTGATTCCTCGGGAGCCCGCGGCTTTCTTCATGACGTCTCAGGGTCCCTTCTGGATCCCCCAGGCTCCGTCATGTTTCCATCAGATTCCCTCGGGACTTTTGAGGGGCGCGCAATTGTCAGGAATGTTCGCCTTCCGCAGAACCTTGTTGGAACTTTCGGGGTTCCGCAGGGTACGTTAGTCAAGATGCCCACAGGATTCATCTGGACTTCTCCCGGTTCTCTGCGTTTCCTAAGAACTCCTCTTAGTTATTGATGGATACTTTCTGGAGTTTCCAGAACCCAACAAGATCCTTCAGGTCGCGACGTATTGTCTAGTGGCCTTCGGCCCATCCCGCCACCGTGCCTGGTTTCTGGGCAAACGAGGCCTCTGGGATGTTAGTTAGAATAGGTGTGAGACCTCTCGCAAGGCCGTTTAGGCCTCCTTTGGGGCCTCGTAGGGGCCTCTAGTGGGGCCTCTAGTGGACCTCTTTGGCTCTCTTGGGGGCCTCTTGGGGCCTGCTGGGGGCCTCTTGGCGCGGAAGGCTCGAATTGTCGGTTCCTGTTCCACCTCTAAGGCCGTTGCCCACGTCCAGCAGGCTTAGGTATCAACGTCTCCCTCGCCCCTCGTTCCTGGGTCTCTGCGGAGCCCCCCTCCTTCTACATCCTCGATGTATTTCTCATCTCCGCGCCTCATCTTGTCAGCCCTCACTCCCTCCTCGCGCGGAGCCTGTCCCACCGAAGACGACGAGAGCGGCGCGCCCACCTGGCCCCGTCGAGAACCACGGGTTAGCGCCTGCACGTTGAATAGCCAGCCTGGGGCTCCCCATTTCATGCTTCGCGCGCCAGGGGTTGGTTTAGCATTGCCGCCCCTCCTGCGCTGCAGCACGGTGCGTTATTTCACTCTTGCCTTCGGCGCGTCATGCACTGCATCCTTCGCAGGTGCATCCACCATCGCGCACTTCACCCCATCCTTCCGTCAGCACTTTGCCCCTAGCTGCTGCGACGCGCAGCTCCTCCGACAACGATCCCCATGGGGAAGAACAGAACCGGCGGGATCGAGGCCAAGATCGCCAGCTTGGAAATCCACGGCGGATGCCAAGGCCACCTGCCAAGGGGACGCCGCACCTGCTGGGCGGGGAGGAATCCGTCGGCGGGCGAGACCGGAGACGCTGCTTCCAGCAGGCGCGGGACGAATCCACACCGGCTTCGCGGACAGGGCGCCGCCCCAGTGCATGGGCGAGAGCCAGGGCGCCGCCAGGAGCGCGCGTAGGGAGCGCATCCTTGAGGACGCGGCGCGCATGCTAGACGGGGGCTCCGGCGAAGCGCCGATGGCGCGCCCCAGCGCCTCGCGCCTGGCCCGCAGGACGACGCACTTGGGAGCGAATCTGCCCGTGCGCGCCCACTCCTCGCAGCGCCGTCGTGGGATCTGCGATAATGCGCCGTCTGAACACGCGAACTCTCGCGCGCGCAATGGGATGTCCGACGCAATCTACAGCACCCGCACTCTGGTGCAACGCGCAGGTCGCGCGCGCATTCCCCCACGGGCGCCGCGCGCGGGCGCCTTCGCTCGCCGCGCGCGCCCTGTGGCGCGGGCAACCCAGGTCGCCGTCGCCTGCGCAGCGGGCTGCGCAGTGTCCAAGCGGAAAGCTTGCGCGTTGGCAAGTGGTTTGTCGCAGAGATTCCGAAGCGCGGCGGCGGATGCGCGGCGAGTTCCGCGTTGGCACAATGGAGACTTCGCCGAGTTACTTTTTTTGGTAAAAGTAGATGTTCGGCACGGGCCTCCCGCGCGCCCGCCCTGACATCGCGCACATTGCACGCGCGTTCACGGTTCGTCCGCCCGCGCGCGCGCGCCGCCGCCACGCGCGGGTCCAGCCGCGCCTCCGCTCGCGCAAACGCGCTGTTTCCTCGCATTTCCGTGCGCCCGCCCACTCGCAATGCCCCGCGGTCCCCCACTTGCCCTGCGCGACGTCGCCGCCCGGGCCCCCCTTGCCTTTGAACGAGGCGTTCGCGCGCAAAGCGCCTGCCTGAACGCGGACGAGGCGCGCAGTCGCGGCGGCGCGACTCCGTCGACATCCGCCGCGCGCTTCCCGCGGAGGTTGAACGGGCGAGCCCGCAGAGAATAACACCTTGGAAAATAGCGGGGGGCAGTTTCCATGTGACGAAGGTGCGCGGCCGCCCGCCGCGAGATAGACCATGCCCTTGTCGATGCTACATTGGTCGCTCCCCCTCCTGGCGAATGCGTCTGCGTAGTCGCTCTGCGCGAGCGTGCATTCACGTGACAAATCATACACCGTTCGCCAACAGCTCCCCCCCTTTGCCTTGCCACCCCTGTCGCGCAGTGTCATGCGGATTACACGCGTCGGTACAGGAAGGACGTTTTGGTAACCTTGCGCAGATACTACGCGGCGGGTCATGCGCGCGCACACCCCCTTGCGCGTTTGTCGACATAATTGCAGCACTTGGCATCGCTCGGGAGCTTGTAATTTTTTCGGCGAGGATTAGGAGGAACATCCAGGGCCATCTTGCGAACAAAAACGTACGAGCACGAAACATGCACGAGGAATCAACGTCCGAACGAAGGCAGGAGCAGGACGCAGCTACTTACGAACAGCTTGCGGACGCCAACAGCAAATAAATGTCTAAATTATTTGTTGCATCAGCGTGCGAGCGCTGTCGATGGCACGTCCGGAACCGTCCGTAATGGGCCTTGTCTTGCCCCCCCCTCCCTGCTCGTTTTCCTCGTGGCCGTGATCCTTCTCCCGCGCGCCCTCGTCCTCCAGAGGAGATGGGAGCGGAAGGATCCTGAGCCTGCTCATCGTGATCGACAGCAGCCGCTCCTTCTTCATGTCGGGGTCTGGCCCGGGCCCGGGCGGCGCTCTTTTTCCATCCTCGCGTTGTGTTGCTCCAACCTACTTTAGCCTCGATCACCAGAAAACATTTCGAGCGCCAAAAAGAAAAAGAGCCGAAACTCAAGGGTTTTCACGTGTCGGGCCCTGGGAGACACTCGCCCGACACTGTTTCGACACTCTTTTGACACTTTTCCGGGTGCTCGAACTTATTTCTGGGATGCGGTCTTTAAGTAGGACGAGAACAACAAAATCCTCGTGGTCGTCGTCGTCCCCATCCTCCCCCTCGACGCCCGAGCTTGCATGCGATGAGTTGGAGGACCAGAAGTTATCTCCGTCCTCTCCCCCATTCTCGCTCCGTCGCCGTCGCCTCCGCCGGTGCCGCATGTCTTCGGCAGCTGCGCGGAGGGTGGCTCCCTCCCGACCCCGCCAGGCCTCGCCCGCCGGCAGGGGCCGACGGACCTCCATCCCCCCCCCCTTTTTCGTCGGCGGTGCCTCCTTTTTCGTCGGGAGGAGGAGGAGGAGGAGGAGGAGGAGGAGGAGGAGGAGAAAGATGAGGAGGAAGAGCAGGAGGACTAGGACGAGGACGAACACGAAGACGATCCCTTCCCCTCGCCATCACCCTCATCCTGTCCTTCGTCGTCGTCTTCATCCTCCCCTTCGTCGTCGTCCGCCTTACTTCCCTCGTCGTCCTCATCCTCATCCCCGCATCCTCCTCATCCTCCCATCCTCCCCTCCGCGTCCTCAGTCTTGCCGTCCTCTCCTCCTCGTCCTCATCCGCTTCCTCCTCGTTTCCTTCGCATCCTAAACTTGTCGAATGTCCGCTCTGATTTCTTGGGTCGGCGCTGGACCCCCCCTGGCAGCGCGTCTGGTGCGGCCCCCAGCGCGCTTCGCGTACCAGGGAGGTAGTAGTTCTGAGCCGACTAGCAACGCATCCCGTTGGACCTCCAAGGGGCTCACGAAAGTGCCGACAGATGCGCAGCTGGCAGCGCCCAGGGAGACGGGTAATAATTCGAGTCTGAGCAGGACGGTACTACGCCGGACCCACCATGAGGTCGTGGGAGCCCCAACAATTGCGCAGACGACAGCGCCCAGGGCGAGGAGTAATATCATGTTGTGGATGGCACCGCGCTCGGCTGCACCTCCCATGTGCTCGCAAGAATGCCTACAGGTTGCGCAGTCGGCAGCGCCCAAGGAGGGGGTATCGCTGATAATCTGCACAGCACACGCGCCCCGTCGGACCCCCAGGAACTCACGAAAGTGCGTGCAGTTACACAGCACCGCACTCCGCCGGACCTCCCAGGAGCACGCGAAAGTATCCGCAGATGCGCAGCTGGCAGCACCCAGGAGGGGAGGATTATCCGTAAGGGCTTCGCCCCATGCCGCCAGCCCCTTGTCTCGGATAATGGGAGATGCAATAGCTAAATCATGAGGTTTGGGCGCCGCCGTGAAGCAGTGTCGGGACCTGTTTGTTTTTCGACCCTGACCCTACGAATCTGCGTCACGGGTGCCACCGAATTTCTGAAATGTGGCAGATCCCTTATGTTTTTGGACCCTGACCTCACGGATCTGCGTGAGGGGTGCCGCCGAATTTCAGAAATGTGGCAAATCCCTTGAATTTTTGGACCCGGACCTTGCCGATCTGCGTGAGGGCTGCCGCCGAATTTTAGACATGTGGCAAATCCCATGTGTTTTTGGACCCTGACCTTGCCGATCTGCGTGAGGGGTGCCACCGAATTTCAGAAATGTGGCCAATCCCTTATGTTTTTGGACCCTGACCCCGCCGATCTACGTGAGGGGTGCCACCGAATGTCAGAAATGTGGCAAATCCCTTGTGTCTTTGGACCCTGACCCCGCCGATCTGCGTGAGGGGTGCCAGCAAATGTTTAAAATGTGACACATCCCATGTGTGTTTGGACCCTGACCCCGCCGATCTGCATGAGGGGTGCCACCGAATTTCAGAAATGTGGCCAATCCCTTATGTTTTTGGACCCTGACCCCGCCGATCTGCGTGAGGGGTGCCACCGAATGTCAGAAATGTGGCAAATCCCTTGTGTCTTTGGACCCTGACCCCGCCGATCTGCGTGAGGGGTGCCAGCAAATGTTTAAAATGTGACACATCCCATGTGTGTTTGGACCCTGACCCCGCCGATCTGCGTGAGGGGTGCCAGCAAATGCTCAAAATGTGGCAAGTGTTTTTGGACCCTGACCTTGCCGATCTGCGTGAGGGGTGCCACCGAATTTCAGAAATGTGGCCAATCCCTTGTGTTTTTTGGACCCTGACCCCGCCGATCTGCGTGAGGGGTGTGAATTCATACCCCCCAGAAATTCTGAGAACCCTCCCAGGGCGAAGTAAAAATGCCAGTTTTGGGCCTCCCCCCTTCGCGCGGTCCATCAACAAGGAACAGTAAGCAGCAAGAAGCAGAACTGGAAAGGAACAGTAAGCAGCAAGAAGCAGAACTGTAACAGTGGAAACTGTAAGCTGCAACTGGTACAGGAAACTGCGAAGCTTAGCCCTACAGCCTGGTGGCCCCACAAGGGGGCCGGCGGATTTTGATCAGACCACGACCGCACTCTGCAGGACCTCCCAAGAGCTCGCGAGAGTGCCGACAATTGCGAGTTGGCAGCCCGAATTCTGACTCGAATTAAATAGGCTTCACTCCGCTGGACCCCCCAGGAATTCACAAAAGTGCCGACAGTTGCGCAGCTGGCAGCGCCCAGGCAGGAGGCTCCAGACAGGACCACCGAAGTCCCACACCTCCGAAGGTGAGAAGGCACAGTTGACAGCACCCAGAGCGGTGAGGTAGGAGGCTACACGTAGAAGGCCGCTGGACACTTGAGCCATGACCCGAAAGTGAGACATCCTCGCGCCGCGAAAAGAAACACGATGGGAGGTGTCTGGCCGCGCTCGGCGTCTGGGTGCCGTCAGAACGGGACTCTGGGGTGAAGAGCCGGTCCCGGGTCTAGGGTTGCTGAGCGGCCTGGAGCCCACATCGGTACAACCGATACGGTTACGGCAAGAATGGGGACGAAGACCAACATCAGTTCCTGTCCATTCTGAACTGGATTCGGTGTCTGTGTCGTCATGTTGCGACGGTCCAGGGGCCAGGGAACAGCCTCCAGTGGCAAAATACGGAAAGCCGACAGTCGCGGTTTGTTTGCGTCGCCCATGGCTAAGATTGTGGACGACGATCAATGGAGAGGAAACATGTTGCCAACTAATTTCCAGATGTCTAAATCTGTTTCAAACATGTATTTAACATGAAAAACGCTTACGCCAATCATTTGTAGAACATGTTTCATTCAGTTCAATGATAGGATTGTTAGTGTGTCCATTGCCATGTGATGGCTGGAGGGGGGGAGGGGGGATCTCATGGCTGGGGGCATGACACCTCCCCGAGCCCGTCCCCTGGTCGTCCCCTTCGTCCGCACACACGCCTCGAGGCGTGATTTGCGAACGACCCTTTTGGACGCTCCCCTCCTGAACTCAGTGTCGTTCGACCGATCCCCATCCCCTTCCCCATCCCCACCACGATCCCCCCCATCCCACCACCCCAGTTGGGAATATGCCATTGGAAACCCAAAGGAAACAGCCTATATCCCCATCTAGGGGAGTACATCGGCCAGTGGGGCGCGGGCCACGCCGGTGGGGATATGGATCGGTCAAACAATACTCATGAACACCCCCGATGCTTGCGCCGCCCAGATGTGTTGTCCCCGCCCCGCTCCAGAGGGCGCTCTTCCTGTCGGAGGACCTTCAGCATGCTCGCAACGGGATGGCCACAGTGAGCTCACTCAGAATACCCTCAAACATGTGGAAGAACCTCTTCAGCCCTTTAGCCTTGAAGAAGCCGCCCCTGTCTCCAGAAGAGGCCCGAAGAACTTCCCGGAAGGCCAGAGGTTCAGAGGCGACGATAGGGGCGAATAGCCCAGGGGAGAGCAATACCTGTATCCAGATGCGCAGATGATCTATGTCATCGAAAAGGCTCCCGGGCAAATACGCGTAATTCCCGCCCCTGGGCCATTCGCCCCTATCGTCGCCGCCGAGAGGTCCTCCGAGCCTTCCGAGGAGACCGCCGCCTCGGACGGTCCCCTCTGCGCTCGCCGAGACGGCAGAGGTCGTCCTACCTGTGGAAGGACCTTTTCAGCATGCCGAGCGTGGCCGCGCAGGCGCCGCATCCCCCCTGGGGCGCGGCGGCGGGCATCTGCCCAGGGGAGTGTGTGTGTGGGGTGGGGAGGGCTCTTCGAGGTCCTCGGAGGTCTTCGGAGGCCCCCGCGGCTGGACTCCCAGACGTGGTCGGGTCGTGGAAGAAGCAGGGCACGAGGTTCGTGTCTGTTGGCCGCTTTGGGCCTCTGGGGGGGCCCTCACGGGGCCCCGGGGTCGTGAGAAAGCGACTCGGGGTGGAAAGCCGGTCTCGGAGAAGGGTCGGGAGATCTGAGGAGCCCGTGCTGAAAAACATCAGGACATCGAATGTCGGGGCTCGCCCCGGAGTTCTAGTCGGAGCATGTTACCCCAAGCAGTGCTTGCACTTGAGGGTTCTTGCTTGTCTCTGGTTTACCCAAAAGAGGGTCCAGTAGGTGGTGCAATAGATTTGGTGCAACCGATTTGCGGGTTATAATAGGTTCGGGGCGTGCAAGACATGCTGGGGCGCAAATGCATTGCTGGATTGTCGCGTGCACTACATTAGTTGCAGCACGCTACAATACAATTCCCTGGCGCGAACATTTGCAATACAGGTGCCCCGAGTCTATTGCACCACCCCCTCTCAGATGGATCCCGTTCTGGGTCCACCAAACTGTCGTTCTGAGCAAACGGGTTGGCCTGCCGAGGTTTCGCCCACGTTCCCGCCCGTGGGCGCCTCCTGCCCCGTGTGGGTTTGCTGAGGTTCCGCCACGTTCCTGTCCGTGGGCGCCCCCGGGGGGGGGGGGGCCTCTTGGGGTTCTTGGTCCTCGTAGGGACCGCCGGCAGTTTCGGGAGTCATTTTGGAGCGGAGGGCTCGACATGTCAGTTCGAGCTCCCCCTCTTTCGGCGGTCTTAGGGGACGTCTTGAGGCCCTCTGGGAGGCCTCTTGGGGGCTTCTTGTGGGCCTCCTGTTGCGTCTGGGGCAATCTTGGGGACCTCTTGGATCTTCTTGGAGCGTCGGAAGCCCGAACAGGCGAGAACGCTGAGATGCGTGGTAGACCTAAGGAAAAACAATGATGTTGCCCGATGTGGGAGTATCTTGGAGCGTTTTAGGAACTGCTTGAGCCGTCTCGAGGTCATTAGAGCGCTCTTGGGTTGACTTGGGTCTTGGGAGCCTCTCGGGCCGTCTTGGAGCGCATTTGGGACGTCTCCGGACCCTCTTGGACCGTCTGGGGAACGCCTTCGGGCCCTTTTGGACCGTATCGGCTGGCCTCTGGGGAAGTGACGCTGCACACCCGGGAGACTCCGTGAATTTGAAACCCAATCCGCAGGATTGGGGGCGGAGGACCCAAGGAACCTGAGGACTCTCCAACTCGTGCCTCGCGGCACAGTGCCACTGTGCCGCGAGGCTCCAGGTGGCGGACACAAGTAATTTGCACACGCACACATATACACACACACACACACACACACACGCACACGCACACGCACACGCACGCACGCACGCACGCACGCACGCACGCACGCACGCACGCACGCACGCACACACACACACACACACACACACACACACACACACACACACACACACACACACACACGTACACACGTTTAGCGTCGGCGGCTAGGCAGAGGGTGACTGCGGTGGCGATGTGAGGCACAAACGGGGGTTCCGTTGGAGCGAATTGTGCCACCATGCAAGAGGAGGAGGGAGGAGGGACGCGGCCGAAGGAAAACAAGGACGGGGCGGGCGGCTCAGGGGTCAGAACGCTCCCCGAGCGTGTGGCGCGGCCGACCCCGCCGCTCGGCACGCGGCGGCTGCTGCGACAACGGGCCAGGGGCGGCGGGGCCCAGTGCGGGAAGACGAGTATACACACATTGATTTCTTTATGTTAACACACACACACACACACTGCCTCCCGTCGTGGCCTCCTTGCCACGGCGCGAGGAGGTCTGGGCCCCCAGCTGCCAGGTGTCGCCGTCCCTGCTGAACGTCATCGCCAGCCTCTCCCCGCTGGTGGGCCTGCTCCTCGGCGAGCGCATCGTCAAGAGGCGCGCTCCCCACCCCGTGCCGCGGGCCGGTGCCCCCGCCCAAGCCTGCCCGCGAGCTCGCCGCCGCCGCTCGTCGCCGCCAGCGGCTGTCGGTTGAGGCGGGGGCTCGAGGATCGATACCCATCGGTCGTTGAAAACAGGCATTTGTGGGCTCCCAGATCCCAACTGCTTCATCCGCCTCCCTACTTCAAGGGTCGAGTGGTTTTCACTCTTCCCTCATCTTCTGGAGGCGGGTTGAAACCCAATGTACTTCCAACGCCTTCCTACTTCATGGTTCTACCTATTTCTTCCGACCGATGGGTATGGTTCTGGACGCTCTCTGGCACTGCTCGGCGGCGAGCCGCGGGCAATGAGGGCCTCCGGAGACCTGAGAGAACTTCGATCACCGAGCGCGCTCCACGACTCGCAAAATGCCTACTCGCAAACGTCTGGAAAACACATGTCTGCATCGATGTAATGTATCGCAAACCCCATGGAAGATCCAGGCCAGTTGCGAGAAGTTACGTTGCGAGTAGTGGAACGCGCTTGTCGATTCGAAGAGGACACACACACACACACACATGTTGCGTCGGCGGCTGGGCAGCAGGCGACTGCTCCGGCGGAGTGGCAGCATGGGTCACGCTGTATGCGAATTAAGGCCGCGATGCACGGAAGGAGGAGCAGGAGGAGCCCCGGCGCGACAGGAAGAGAGGAAGCCGGGCCATTCAGAGCTGCTGGCGGCGGCGGGGGGAGCACCGAGGGGGGGAGCAGCGCCGGCCGGGACAGAGTTGCATTGGGCTGCACTGAGCTGAAGCTGGGGCGACACACACGCACACACACACACCCACACCCTGGGCAGATGCCCCCCCCCTCCCCGCCGCCGCGCCCGAGGGGTGGCGGCTTCTCAGGAGGGAGGGCTTCTGAGAAGACCCGCCGCCCTCTAAGATTACGTCAGGCATGCCCCTCTACAGCAGGAGTGCTCATTCGTTCTATCATGTATTCATTGCTTTGAATGTGTTTAGATATTGTTGGTGTATTTCTTATCTTTCGTCCAAAATTCGCCTGTATGGGGGACAGGCCCGACCTTCTTCCGACAGGGCCTGCCCCCTCTCACCGCCTGCCCCCTCTCGCTTCCCCTTGGATTACGTGTCGTTCTTTTCCGTCGCGGAGGGTTTGGGGCGTTCGCGTCTCTTCTTAGAGTCGGAGGTGGACAGGCCTCCTACCCTGACACGTCGATTAAGAAATTGGCCGTATTCAGTTCGCGAGAGGGCGTCGCGGCCGTCATTTTTGCGGGTCCAGGTCCGTCGGTTTCGGTCCCAGGCCGTTTTCACTAAGGGGAGGTTTGCTAAAGGGGGGGTTGTCCACCGCCGATAGAGGCTGTCCGGACCAGGGATGCCTTCCTGCAGCTGCGCCTCGCCGAAGGCGTCTTGGGGGTGCCCGGATCGCCCCGAACGGCCGCCAGAGACCGGAGCCATGACCGGAGCTCCAGGCCTTCGCGTCGTGACAGATTCACGACGAAAGGATTTAGCCAATTTTCGGCAACCGAGGGGGCCCCAGGACCGTTAAAAATGATGCGGGATCCTGGAAGAAGGTCCAGACCTCTGAGGAACCATGGTGCCATGGTGCCAAAAAATCGCGACGTCGGATGTCTTGGTTGTTGATTTTGGCTTGTCGTGCTAGGCTTTTGGGGAACGGCTTGCGACGTAGACGTTGGCGTGTCCCTTGTCCGATACGCTCCTCCTCATCCTCCTCCACCTCCCCATCCTGCCTTCGGTGTGAATGGAGGCGTGCGTCAGGCAAACAGGGGGGCGAGTATCGGGCATAGAGTGTGTTGTTCTTCATCTATTGAGATGATGTTTGTTAATACCTAACGGCTTACAAAACAAAGAATCGCGCCCAGATTGTTGGGATGTCTCAGGCGGTTTGCCTGCTTGTGTGCCCACCGCTTTTTGGTGTCGAAGCAACTTGTGAGGATGTCTCAAGCGGCTTGCTTGTTTTTGCCCCGATACAGCAGGCGTGGCATGTGGGCACCCCCAGGCGGCGCCGCGAGGAGTGGCGCGCTCAGATTGTGAGGATTTTCCCGGCCGTTTTGCCTGTTTCTATCACCCGGATGTTCTGCGCGGGGTCCAATACTCACCGCAATATGGCAGGCCTGGTACTTGGGCACCCGAAGGGGGAGCCGCCAGGGGCGGGGACACTCCAGGGTTCGCGGCCAGTTTGTCGGAACGTTTGATGCAGTTTGCTTGTTTCTGTCCCCCACCAGATATTGGTCTTTGGTGGTTCATGTTCACCGCGACATCGCATGCGTGGCACTTGTGCACCCCAAGGCGGAGCCGCCAGGGGTGGGACACTTCTCTCATATTGGGAGATGTCTCAGGCGGTTTGCTTGTCCCTGCCCCCCCAGACTTTTCTATGGGTTGTGTGCTCCTTACTCACTCACTCACTCACTCACTCACTCACTCACTCACTCACTCACTCACTCACCTCCTTTCCCTTTTCCGCATTCGGACGCATTCAGTCGCACTCGGATTTGCTCATCAGCACCTCTTCCTCGCCCACACGCGCCCATCTCCTTCAGACTCGCTCATACGCATATTCGATCGTACCCTGACTCACACATGCTTACTGGCTCATATTCAGACGCGCTCGAACTCAGACTCGCGCACACCCAGACCAGATCACACTCAGGCTCACTCAAACTCATACACACCAGCCCTCAGACCCGCTTATTCTCAGACTACCTCGCACCCAGGGTCACTCATACTCAGAGATGAGTTCATCACACTCATACTCAGATTCATCCTCAGACCCACTCGCACGGAGACCCACTCGCACGTAGACTCGCTCGCACTCAAATCTTCTTATATTGAGACACGCTGGTACTTACACTTACTATCACACTCAGGCTCAGTCATACCAGGACCCGCTCACATTCCGACTCCTTCACCCACACTCAGATTCATTCGCACGCAGGTTCACACACACACACACACACACATCGCTACCGCGATATAGGCGGCGTGACACATAAGCACCCCAACTGCCAGCAGGCGCCGCGAGTAGCACGCCAGAGAGCGGGCGTGGAAATGCCATGCGCGCTTGCCTGAGTTGCCGCGGGGAAAACGGCAAGAGGAACTCACCCTCGCTCTTCCATTTGTGTGTGTTCCTTCGTTTCTCTCGAAAAATGTCTAGGTGCGGAGGAGGACGTCATTGAAGCCGCCGCTGTCGTAAGTGCCGCGCCTGCCGTCCACGCGGACTCGCTCTCACCCAAAATGTCATAGACAGAGCTCCTCTGCGAAGCGTAACATGAGTATGAGATGCATGTAGGGAGGTATTCGCGTCCAGTCAGCACTTAGACGGCTCCGAGAACAAACCCTCCTCGTCCTCACTTCCTCCTCTTCCCCTTTTTGCGTCAACCAACTGCCATAGACGCCAGAGGGATTTTCAGTCAACGCATGCACAATCACCACCGGCAGGCCCTGACACCAGACGTATATGACGCTCCTCGGGCCGAAGGCGGCCTGGGGGTAATGAGAAGCACGAGGACTGCGGGGAGGTTATTGCGGAGAGGCCGAAGATACTGCTCAAGATGAAGTTCGCGCCCGCCCCGCCTGGATTGCGGCACCCTTCGCTGGGCGGTTCCGAGGCGCGCCGCTGAGCGGAATGGAGGATAAGGCTGCACATGGTGCGCGCGGCGCGCATCCGCTTCGAAACCCTTGGGGAGCAGCGAGCTTTCGAGGAGCAGCAAAACGCAAGCAAAGAGCAGCACGCATTCGCGGAGAAACACGTCGTCGAGGAGGAGCAGGACGCCTTCGAGGAGCAGCGTGCCTCTGAGGACACAGTGGGCGCTCTCGAGGAACAGCGCACTCTTTCGGGGCAACATGAGAACGCCTGCGGGAACCTGCGCGCCTTCACGGAGCAGCTGACCTTCACGGAGAAGAACGCCTACGCGGAGAAGCGCGCTTTTGAGGAGGAGCAGCACGATTTTGAGGAGCGGCGCGTCTATGAGGAGCACCGCGCTTACGAGGAGAAACGCGTCATCACGGGGCAGCAAAACACCGTGATGGAGAGGCGCGCCTTCACGGAACAGCAGACCTGCGAGGAGAAACGCGCCTTCGCGGAAAACGATTTCGAGGAGTAGCGCGCCTTCGAGGAGAAGCAGCGCACCTCTGATGAGCATCGCGGCTTCGCGGAACAGCAGAAAGCCATGGGGGAACAGCGCGACTTCTCGGAACAGTGCGCCATCAAGGAGCAGCGGACAGCCAGCGAGCAGCAGCACGCTTTCCAGGAGCACGACTTCCAGGAAAAGCCGGACGCCTTAGAGGAACAGAGTGCTTATGAGGAACAACCGCCCGCCTTTGCTGCGAAGCCCACCGCACTCATCGACATCGCGCATGACCAGCCGGCGCCTTCAACAGCGAAGGGGGCGGAAACACCGTGCGCCGACGTGGCTGAGTGGGCGCTGGGCCTTCGCTACAGCTCTTTGAAGGCGTGGGAGGGCATTGGCATCGTTGATGGGACCGACGAAAATTTGGAATTGGTAGTCGGTTCGGGCGGACACGCGTGCAGCCTGAGGGGCTGGGCTGCGAAGGTCTCTTTCTTCCCCTCTTCCTCCGCTCCGCCCCCCCCCTCCCCCTGCAAGGTGGCGATCAATTGCCAAAGGCCTGGTACGACCAAACAGCGCGCCTCTGTCATTTGATAGTGTTTAGACAGCGTAGAAATTGCCACGGCGGCGTCGCCGCCCCAAAAAAACACAAGAGCGGGGATATAACGATTGCTTTTGGCTGTGACGCCTCGCCGTTTTCTGGGGTGGTGTTGACTGGAAGGCGGGGGGTGAGGAAATGAGAGGGAGGACAAGAGTCGATTTAGTTGCACGGAGGCGCACGTACAGCAAATTCCAAGGACGGTCCGGAGGGACTGCACGCACTGTTTTTGACGTGCCCGCGGCCCTGAGTTCCCCGGGGAACTCCCCCCGCACCCGTCAGCCCCGTGCTTACGGTAATGGGCCCAAGTGATCGAAGTCTCAGTTTTGTGCGAGTTGAATGAAGTGCGGTGCGCCTTCGTGATAGAGTGGCCTGTGAAGGTCCCCCTTGGACCATGCCCACAGGCTTGCCCGAGTAGCGCATTGATGACACCAGCAGCATTTGTTTCAGCTGTAGCTCTCACTCAGCAGAGGCAAGCCAGAGAGCATAGCACATCGGCCGCCCAGGCCTTAATTGTTTTCTCTTCAACCAGAGCGATTAATTCATAGTCATACTCACCCATACCCGAACTCAATCATATTCTTCAATACCCTGGACTCACTCATTCCGACGAAGTCACAGTCAGATTTACTCGCATTCAGATTCACTCGTACTTTGAATCAGCGCATTCAGACTGACTCACACTCAGACTCGCTTACACTTGGATCCACTCACTCCCACACTCAATTCTACTCACATTAGTTCACACTCGTACCCATCTGACATACTCGAATTCAGATTTACTCATATTCATTGGTGGTCCAATGCCCACCGCGAGATAGCCGGCGCAGCACTTGGGCACCCCAAGGAGGGGGCGCAATCGGTGGGGACACCCCTGGATTCGCGCCAAGATGGTGGGGATGTCTGAAGCGGTTTGCCTGTTTGCGTGCCTGGCACCTTCTGCTTTCGGAACTGGTCCTGAGGATGCCTCAGACGAGCTCTTGGTTTCAGCACTCCTGCAGAGAGGGGGGCCATGGGGGCGACATTCGAGGATTCGTCCCCATATTGTGAGACTGTCTTAGGCGGTTTGCTTGTTTGCGTGCCCAGCATCCTTCGGTTTCAAACCGATGTTTGAGGATGTCTCAGGCGGTTTGCCTGTTCCTGCCCCCAGATTTCTCTCTTGCGGTGGTCCAATGTCCGCCGCGATATAGCAGGCGTGGCTCTCGCCTTCGTTCATCGTCATCGTTGCCATTGTGCCGGCGCCCTCGCCCTCGCCGTCGGTCGTCGTTTTCGTCGCTACCGCCGTCGCCTTCGCCGTCATCGTCGGCGTCGGCGTCATTTGAGTTCGTCGCGTCGTGAGCAAGATCACGGCGGAAGGCTCCCGCCCGTTTTCAGTTTCCAGGGCCACATACGTCCACGAGTGCATGGAGGAACGACTCGGGGACGTCAAGCCGTTCCCCTGGAGCCGCGCCGTGAAAAATCACGACGGCGCAGGTCTAGGGTTTTCTTGGGCCGTCTTGGGGTCCTCCTGGGGGCATCATGGGCCTTTTTCTTTTTGGGGCGAGTTGTCCAGCCTGTTGGGCCGTGCTGGGGCTTCGGAAGCCCGAGAAGGCGAGAATCCGAAAGACCTGCAACAACCCACGAAAATCAATGCGCTTGGCCTCGTGAGGCCCTGTGGAAGGTCCTCTTGAGGCCACGTGGAGCCATCTTCGAACTCGTTGCCCTCGCCCTCGGTGCCGTCGCCGTCGCCGCCGCCGCCGTCGAGAAGGTCGCCGCCCGCGCCCGCCGCGCGCGGGTGCGCGCCCGCGAAGGCTCGGCGTCCGCACCACCTGCTTGGCCTGCTCCGCCGTCGCTGGGGCGCGCCCCGCCGCCGGCGAGCTCCGCGCCGTCGACGAACACCACGACGACTAGGACGACGACTACGACGACCACCACGACCACGACGACGACTAGGACGACGACCAGGATGACGACGACCACGACGACCACGACGACGACGACGAAGACGACGAAGACGACGACGACGACGACGACGACGACGACGACGACGACGACGACGAGGACGGCGATTTGACGATTTGGCCTCGGCGGGCCTCGGCCACGAGCAGGTCCCCTGAGTCGTGGCGCCGTTCGGACACGCGCATGCTTTCCTCAAGCAGCGGCGAAGCGTCTTGGTTTGAGTATAGGCCTACCAAGAATTTGTATGATAACAGTTTGTGGTCTGCACGAATTTTTCTGAGAACATTTCTGGCTGAGACTATCTTGTTTCAATACATCGGGTAGATGTTCTAAGAACAGTACTTTTGTTCTTAGAACGTTTGTGGGCTCAAAGAAGATTTCGTTGGAGGCCTACAGGAATGCCAGGACGGTCGGTCCCTGCTCAATTTCTTCGGCGAGGGCAGCCCAGGAGCATTTTGGAGCACCTTGCAGAAACAGAAGCACACGGCGTCGAACAGTGCACGCACGGGGAGTGGACGTCCGAGCAATGGCCTGGGCTTGATTCTGAAAGAGGTCTCCTCCCAGATGGGGTCCGAGCAGATAGGTCGGAAAATCGCTCCGGATCGCCGATGCGTCGCCGACGCACGCCCCGCCGCGGGCGGGCTCCGCACGGCGCGCGCCTGCCCGCGACCCTGTCTTCCTCGCGTCGTGCCGAAGGGTAGTTACCGATGCCGCTGCTCGTCCTGGAGAGAGTCCTCGTCGCCACGGCGGGATGATCCCCGAAACTCTGGTCAGAGCGCAACCCAGGAGAGGTCCGTGGAGTAGCGGCATCGGTGCTTGTACGCTGCCCCTCCCAAGATCTGCGCGAACGAAACGGGGACGGAAAGAATGGGTACAATGCCCAACAGCAGTTCCTGTTCATTTCGAGCAGGACTCGCTGTCCGCGCCGCCGCGGCCTGTGCCCATTTGAAACGTAAGGCCGCCTTCCCAACAGCGGCCGCTGTTGGTTTGGGACAGCATTTGTTGTTGAGCATTGTGCCCATTTGCTCCGTACCCATCTCGGGCGTCCAAGCAAGAGAGCACGGCGTGAAAGGCCGGTCCCCGAAAAGAGGTCCAGATCTCTCGGGGAGCGCCGCTTCGAGATCACGGCGTCGGAGGCCGGAGCTGCGCGCGTGTGGTCGGAAGGCCAGACAGACTTGGGAGTGTTCGGAAGGTTTTCGGGGGGGGGGCATCGACCTGTTCGGGCTCCAGGGTGGTTTCCATCAGCTGCGCGTCGTCGAGGACGAGCATCCCAGGGATGCCGGAATCGTGCCGAGCTGACGCCTTCGGCCCGAGTCATGGTCGGACGGGGGCAGAACGAGGAAAAATCCGTTCCGTAGCGTTCCGGAAAGCGTTCCGGAACGCTCTGAGAAGACCGCGGCGCCCGAGACATCTTCCAGACTTGCCGGCTCTCAGAGGTTCTCGATTCATCCTCACCCGATTTTCTCCCCGTCCTGGTTTCGTCTTACATGGTTCCGAACACCAACAGGGGGTCTGGGGTGGGCTCTTGTGAGCCCAGAAGAGGACAAGATAAGTCCATCCATACATTAATTGATCCATCCATCAATCCATCCATCCGTCCATCCATCCTCCTTTTCCCCTCCTCCCGCCCCTCCTTTCCTCCTTTGGGGAGGGCGGCAGGGCGGTCTCGTTCCGGCGCAGCCGCCCGTGGAAGTCCGTGGGCAGGGCGAGAGACAGCAAGACCACCGAGAGCAGGAACCAGGGCAGGACCGATACGGTGGCCCGTTGCCGTGTTCCCAATGTTTCGGCGTTCTGGTTGGCCCGCGTCGCCACGGCCGCGCTCGCCTCGGAATCCTGGTCAGATATCGCAACCCCGAGAGAGGTCCACGGAGCAGAGGCAGAGGCATCTCGTGCTCCCCCCGTGATCGGGGGGCAGCTTAGGGCAGGGGATGAAGATATTTGGATTTGCTGTTCGGGGTGGGAGGTGACGAGATCTGGCTCGCAGTTTTGGGCGAGGGGGTGGATGTAACCTGGCGGGCGGTTTGGAGCCAGCGGGTGAGGATCTCGGGCTAGCAATTTTTGGGCCAGGAGGTGAGGGTACTGTTGAGTCATGGTGTCCGCCCCCATCTCCCCCCCCAAGAAAAAGAAAACGAAAACAAAGGGTGGACAAACAACACAAGAACAACAGACACATCTGCTGTGTGTGCACCTCCCTGTGGGGCTCGCGGAAATACAGGGAGGACGGGCAAAGCGGCGAGGAGGAGGAGGAGGAGCAGGAACAGCAAACAGAGTAGGAGGAGGAGGATTGGCCCCCCGTGGCTCCTGGGCGTGGCTGCGCCCTCTGATGGCACATGCGTGTACGGCGCTGCTGCGCGGGCCCTGTGGGGACGAGAGCCTCCCGAAGACACCGCCCAGCCAGCTCACAACCCCAACGTCCCCACCCCAGGGCGGGCGGGCGGGGGGCCGAGCTCCCGTCGGCTGCCAGGCGGAGCTCGGCCTCCACCCTGGGCAGGGTGCCTGGCTGGCATCTGTGCCCCGCCCCAACCCAGCGGACCGCAAGCCAGCGCACAGCCAACTTGCACGCAACGGCACGGCACAATGGCACGGTGCCACGGCATTGTGTGGCGGCACGGCACCAACGGCATCGCGTGACGGCGCGGCGCTATCGGCACGGCGCGGCACCGTCCTTCCCCGCGCGCGACGGCATGGCACCACGGCACGGCGCGGCTCTGCCCTACTCCGCCCTCGGGACGACGGACGTCACGAGTCATGATGTGGAACCGCACGTGCTCGAGCGAGGCCGCGAACCGCCACCCTCCAGGAAGGTATCGTGGGGTCACTGACCTCAATCGCAGCCGCCGCCATTGCTTCCAATCCTCCCGCCGCTACTCGAAGAGTATGGTTCAGAGGGACGGGTGGCGGGCGGCGGCGAGAGGCAGCGGGCGAGCGGACTCCACGCCGCGCGAGCCCCTGCTCCTCCACAAGGCCAGCGACGAACCCCAGAAAGCGCCGAAGATCTCCGAAAACATGTGATAACCAACCACACAAAGCAAAACAAACACACACACACACACACTCTCTTTATGGCGATCGCGGCCTCGCGCGCAGCGACGAGGCGGGGTAAGTGTCGAGGACAAACGCGCGCGGCGACCGGGCCCGCACGCCCGCACGCACGCACGCACGCACGCACGCACGCACGCACGCACGCACGCACGCACACACACACACACACACACACACACGCACGCACGCACGCACGCACGCACCACGCACGCACGCACGTACGTACGTACGTACGCACGCACACACATGCACACAATAATGAAGCAGGCATCCTGGCGAAGGACCGAACCGTACGCAGCTGCGAGAAAAGGGAGGTCGAGCAGCATGGACTTGGGCACGGAGAGGGTGCGCAGAGGCGAACAAGAGCACGGCGGGATGGGGGCGCGAGCTGGAGAGCGAGCGGATGCTCTGAGAGCGCTTTCTTAGGCGCAAGGGCAGCTCGTGGAGGCACAGCGCATAAGGAGTCCCTGCGACACGTGCTGGTCGCCCCGAACGAAGTCATGCGAAGCTTGGTATGTGGGTTGTTGTTGCGTGCCTGAATGAAAGGCGCGAGCTCATGTGAGTTTGGGCATTTGAGGCTCATATAGTTGGGGTTCCCCATGGGGCCGCGAGCTATAAGAGGGTGTGCCGAAATGAGAGGCGGGAACTCATGTGAACTTCCGCATTTGGGCCTTAGTTGGAACTCCCTGCGGGTTCACCAAGTTCGCGAGGTGTGCGCCCAAATGGGTTTCGGTTCGGTTTCGGACCCCTGCGATTTACAGATTTCATGCAGAAAGCCTCGCTCTCACCTCCTCCCTCTTCCTCCTCCTAAGCCTCTCTCTCACCTCCTCCCTCCTCCTCCTCATTCCTCCTTCACTCTCTCTCTCTCTCTCTCGCTCTCTCTTCTGTGTGTTTTCGTTCGTCGCGCATTCCTCTTCCTCCTCATCCTTCTCCGTCTTCCTCCTCATCCTCTTCTCGATCCTCCTCCTCCTCCTCCTCGTCCTCATCCGCCTCCTCCCCCTCTCCCCCTTTTCTGAAGGAGTGCCACAACTTTGGGAAAACCATTGGAACAACCAAAAAAACCAAAGAAACTGAAGTGCTGGAGGCGAAAACTTTAGGAAACCCATTGGAAAAACAAAAAAAAAACAAAAAAAACAAAAACAAAGATTCCAGGGAACACCCGTCCGAAGGGACACGTCCAAAGGGAATCCCAGCACTCTCTGTTGAATATTTGTTTTTTTGGTTTTTTTTGGTTTTTCCAATGGGTTTCCTAAAGTTTTCGGCTCCAACAGTTCAGTTTCTTTGGTTTTTTTGTTTTTCCTATGGTTTTCCCAAAGTTTTTGAATTGTGTGCTTTTGGGGCCTCTCAGGCGGGAGCATCGTTTAGAGTGTTCTATCGGGAACCTCTCTGGCGGGAGCCTCCTTTTGTTTGCGTTTTGGGGGACTTCTCAGGCGGGAGCCTGAGGGAGCCATGAGGGAGCCATGGGGGGAGCCACGAGGGAGCCATGGGAGAGCCATGGGGAGCCGTGGATGGGGTGGGGGGAGCATCCTCCTCATATCCCTCCTCTCCTCATCCTCGTCTCCTTGTCTCCTGATATTGTATATGCTCCTCCTCCTCCTGCTCCTCGTCCTCTGCGCCTCTCGCTTTCTCATGTTCCTCGTCTTCCTCCTCATCTTCATCGTCCTCATCCTCATCGTCATCCTCTTCCTCATCACATCATCATCATCATATTCATCGCCTTCTTATTTGCATATTACATATTCTTTCTCAGCATCATCATCTTCCTCATCCTCACCTTCCACATTCTCATCTTCCTCATCATTATCATCATCATCATCATCAGCATCATCTCCATGATCATCTTCATCTTATCATCATCTTCCTCACCATCCTTATCGTCCTCCTCACCCTCATCTCCTTATCCTCCTCATCTGCCTGATCCCCCTCATCCTCCAGCGATTGGGATGTGGATCGAGCATGTGTTATTCGTATTCCTCCTCCTCCTCCGCATCTCCTTCCCCTTCCTCCACGTTCGCTTCGTTGTGCAGTGGTTTCAAAGTTGGCCTCAGACAGTTTGCCCTGACCTGCCATCTTCTCACAACACTCTTTCTGAACATGAGCGAGGAAGACGAGGAAGAACGAGGAAGAGGAGGAGGAGGAGGACGAAGAACGGCATGAGATGGGGGCATCCATTTTTTGGATGCCCTCGAGAGCACCACAATTGCAGAAGAGAGTTCGCAAACGAACGGCATCAGTTCCTAGTTGATCCCGTTTGTCCTCGAGGCACGGCAGCGGCTGCGATGCAGACCACATGCTGGGTTCGTGCGTGCATGGTGTGAGATTGGGGCCACCCATGCCTGGGGTTGAACGGGGAACCCACGCCACTGCGGCGAAAAAAACAATCATCCAAACATCAGCGTCGCCTCCACCGTCCGATCACGCCGCGTTCGCAGAATTCCTGAAATCGCGGGGGTCCGAAACCGAACCGAAACCCCGAAATGATAAGCAGAAGCCACTGTGAATTCTGGCGTTTGGGCTTAAGTTGGGGCCCCTATCAGGCCACGAAACGTGCGAAGGTTGTGCCGAAATGAGAGGTGAGAGCTCATGTGGACTGTGGCATTTGGGTCTCAGGTTGGGCTCCCTGTGGGGCCACGAATCGTGCGAGGGACGTGCCGAAATGAGAGGTGGGAACTCATGTCAATTGTGACAGGTTGGCCTTACTTGGGGTTCTACATGGGGCCGCGAAACGTGAGATAGGCGTGCCGAAATGGGAGGCGGGACTCTATGAGTGCGGCATGTGGGCTTTACTTAAGGTTCCCTATGGGCCCAAAAATGTGCGAGGGTTGTGCCGAAATTGGAGGCCTGAACTCGTGTGAACCTTCGGCATTTGTGTCTTCGCTGGTGCTCCCTATGGGGACACGGAACGTGCCGAGGGTGTGCCGAAATGAGAGGCGGGAGTTCATGTGAATTCTGGCGTTTGGGTCTAGCTGGAGCTCCCTGTGTGGCCACGAAACGTGCGCCGAATTGAGATGCGGGAGTTCATCTACATTTTGGCATTTGGGCCTTAGTTGGGTTTCCATTTGGGGCCACGGAACGTGCGAGGTCTGTGCCAGCATGGGAGGCGGGAGCCCATGTGAATTGTAGCAATGGGGCTTTAGTACGGGCTCTTCATGGGCCCACAAAGAGGGAGAGAGGTGTGCGAATTGATAGGCGGAACCTCATGTGAACTTGCGAGAGGTGCGTCGAAATGAGAGGCGGGAGCCCGAGTCAATTCTGGCAGTTCGGCGTTAGCTCGGGCACCCTACGGGGCCGCGAGACGTTCGAGGGGCGTGCCGAAGTGAGATGCGGGAGTTCATGCGAACCCAGCTACGTGGGCTTTAAATGGGTTTCCCCATGGGGCCACGAAGCGTGCCAGGGGTGTGCCGAAATGGGAGGAGGGAGCTCGCCTGAACTGTTTGGCATTTGGGCCTTCACTGGGTTCCCCTATGGTGCCACGAAGCGCGCGGGGTGTGTGCCGAAATTGGAAGCGGGAGGTCACGTGAACGTTGTCATTTGGGTCTTCCTTGGGGCTCCCTATGGGCCCACTAAACGTTCGAGGGGCGTGCCGAAATTAAAAGCGTCAGCTCATGTGAACTTGGGCACTTGAGCCTTCGTTGGGGCTCCTTACCCGGCCACGAATTGTGCGAGGTGCGTGCCGAAATGGGAGGCCAGAGTTCGTCTACACTTTGGCATTTGTGCCTCAGTTGGGGTTTCCCCATAGGGCCACGGAACGTGCGAGGGGTGTGCCGCCATGGGAGGCGGGAGCCCGTGTGAAGTTGGGCATGTGAGCTTTCGTAGGGACTCCCAATCGGGCCACGAATTGTGCGAGGGGTGTGCCGAAATGAGAGGCGGAAGCTCATCTGAGTTTTAGCATGTGGGCCTTTGTTGGGGATCCCTATCGGGACGCAAATCGTCTGAGGGGTGTGCCGAAATGAGAAGCGGAAGGGAGGATGATGATGAGGAGGAGGAGGAGCAGGAGCACGAGCAGGAGCAGGAACAGGAGCAGGAGCAGGAACAGGAGGAGGGAAAGAAGGATGGGAAGTCCAAGCCGACGACGACGGCAATGACGACGACGACGACGACGACGACGACGACGACCACGCGGTGGCGGCGGCGGCGTAGCGCCGCCCCCGCGCGAAGTCCGCGCTCCTCGTTCTGACCTTCGCCACCCTGCGCGGGAGGGGGGCGGCGGCGGCGCCTCGGCTCTTCGGCGGCGAGCCTGGGAGGGGAGTGAGAGTCCAGGCCTCCCAGATTCAAGGGCAGAAAAAACGCACCTACCTTGGTTTACGAGGCGCTGTGCTCTGAAGCTCCTGTGGGCTGACAGGGTAAACCCTGCGTGATGTGCCGCGTCCTGGCGGCTCTAGGCTTTGGGGGTTCCCAGGAGGTTTACAGACCACGCACTTGTAACCCAGGGTAGGATCGTTCTTTCATCCCTCAACAGATGGGGTCCGAGTAGATTCGGGGAACGGACAATGGCATAAACATCAAAACTCGGAGGAAGGCGCGGATTTCTCGGATCGGCGCTGGGGCCCCCTGGCGGCGCCTCCGCCGCCGCCCTTGGCGCGCTCCGCGCGCCAGGGAGGGGGATCCAGCGCGGATCCAAGAAATCCGCGCGGACCTCCCAGTTTTTAAGTTTATGTCATTTTTCGGTTCCGAAATTTGGGCCTCCCGGATGGGGTCCGAGTGGACGGTTCTGTTGGGGAGGATTTGCGATCGGCACCGCTGGGGCCTGGAGAGCACTGTTTTGGCCTCGTCGGGCCGCGTCGGGCGCGCGGCGGAGAATTCCGTCTAGGTCCGCGCCCTCCTCCCAGGGTGCCCCACAGGGTGCCGGTTGAAAACCACACCCTGTGCAAACCACACCTTTCGGAGTCGCCGACAGATGAGGTCCGAGTAGATGGGGTCGGAGGATCGCGCCGCATCGGCGATGCATCGGCGATGCGGCGCGACCGATGCATCGCCGACGTCGTTGGTGCATTGTCAATTCATCGACGATGTATCGGCGATGCGGCGCGATCCTCCGACCCCAGCTACTCGGACCCCATCTGGGAGGCATCTATTCTGAAGGCGGCGAGGCTTTTCAGGAGCGCTCGGGCCTTCTGAGAAGTGTTTCAAGCCTTCTCCGAAGACGGAGGCGGCTTCTCAGAAGGCCAGAGGGCTTCTGAGAAGCGCCGCCGCCTTCTCAGAGGGCCCGCCCTCTCTCGCTTCCACCCTGGGTTCGCCGCCAACGGTCGTCGTCTCGCTTGTGTCGTCTCGTGGTCAGCACATTTTCGTTGGGTCCTGGAGGGCTTCCAGCCAAGGGGTGCTCTCCTGCAGCTGTGCCTCGTGGAGGGCGCTCCGGGGGTGCTCGAGTCCTCCCGAACGGCCGCTGGAGACCCAACTTAAGACTCGAAACCAGAGCCGAAAAATCAAGTCGCTAAGGTTTTCGATATTTCGACCCTTATGGGGGACCTTATCGCACCCTGGGGCCAGCAAACCACGACTTGTGATCCAAACTCCAGGACCGTCAGAGACTCGTGGTAAGAAGCCAGCCCTTGTCGGGTATAGCCAGGACTCCCGTTAAGGGGAGCCGGTTTGTGATCGGGCCCCGAAGCCCAAGATTTGCATTGGAATCACTAAACCAGGTGTGCCGTAGCTGGTGTTATTCGGGCGACGGCCGTTCCAGTTAGTGGAACGGGGCGGGGGGGGGGGGGGGGGCGTCCCCCAGAACACATCCCTTAACCAGGTCCCACTAAACCCAGTTCTGCCAATGCCCGATTAGAGGCACCCTGATTCTCAGAAGGCGCGGGCCTTCTCTGTAGATGTAGGGCCAGCGCCTTCAAGAGGCAGCCTCCTTTCTCAGAAGCCTTTCCCTCCCCCCTCTACCCCCTTGTGCGAGCCGCCAAAACCTCCAGGGAGCCACGCTGCTAAAAAATCATGGCGTCGGATGGCTGGGGTCGTCGATTTTCGACGATTGTCGACCGCTTTCGGAGGCGTTCGACGGCTCTCGACAATTTTTGGAGGTCCTCGGAGGCTCCCAGGAGCGGCTCCTGAAAGTCGTCGTTCGTCGTGGTCGCCCGTCGCCGTCGCTCGTCATAGTTCGTCGTCGTCGTCGCTCGTCGTCGCTGCTCGTCATCTCCCGTCATCGTCGTCGGTCGCTCGTTGCTCGTCGTCGTGCTCATCCTCCCTGTCGCCGTCGTTGGGGGGAGGATGGAGAACGGGGAGCGAGGAGCCCCCCCTGTGTCCTCACCCCTCCTCGCCCCGGAGCCCATGCGGGGCGAGGCTCGAGAGCAGGAGGTCTCTCTGCCATTTCTGGGGTGCCCCGTGGGCGAGGGGAGGATCCCCGCGCTGCTGCTCTGCATGGTGCTGGCCACCAAGCTCACCTACGGCCCGCTGGGGACTGCCTGGGCAGGGAGGAGCAGCGGGACGGGGACGGCAATGGGGGGAGAGGGTCAGCAGGAGGAGCGGCATGAGGGGAGGGGGGGGGAAGAGCGAGTGACGAAAATCATGAGGAGGAGGGTGAAGAGGATGGGGGGGGGAAGGGAGGAGGGGGAAGGGAGGAGGGGGAAGGGAGGAGGGGGAAGGGGAGAAGGAGGAGAAGGCGGCAACGGCAGCAGAGGACGAGCAGGAGGGGCGGGAGGAAGAGTTAGGAGAGGAGGGGAGGTCATGGGGGAGAGGTCGAGGAGCACGCGCCAGGACGTGCATCGTCCTCATGAAACTCGAGGCCTTCCCGACCGAGGCGCTCCAGAGCTACTTCCGCCTCTTCCGCCTCCTCTTCACTATTCTTCCTCCTTCCCATCCTTCCCCCCCCCCTTCCTGTCCACCCCTGCTCCATCCTCGCCCTCGCCCCCCTCCTCCCCAGACGTCGAGGAAGTCCTGACAGAGATCAAGGGCGTTCTCTTCACACGTTCGACACACGGGGCGCCCTCGCTGGGCCCCAGGGCCGTCAGAAGACGACTCGGGACGACGCACGTCCACCCCGGCGCGTCACGAGTGGCCGTGGGGGCATGTTGCCATATGGCCATGCGACCACGGCCGTGGTGTGCCATCTTCGTCGGGCCATGGCTAACCCCAGGAAGCATTTAAGAACCCCCCCCCTCCGGCAAATCGATAACCCTTCCGCACCCTGGAAGCGTTACCTGGCTGGTGGTGATGGTGATGATGAGGCTGGATGCTAAAGCTATCGTTCGGTTATTTCGGCCCCTCGGAATATCGAATAAAAAATGCGGTGCTACGATATCGCCGGGGGGGTTCTTAAATGCTTCCTGGGGTTAACCGAGCACCCAGGGTAATAATGCAGACCCCCACCACCCCCCACTTGACCCGTGAGAGTTGACTAACTCGGGCCAGGACAGAGTTGGTCGGGGGAAGAAGGGGCGGCGAGGCCGAACGTCATGATCGCCGGAAGTACGAATCGAAGTTGCTATCCTCTTATGCTGAGTAGCAACACTATCACGATCGCGTGGCATCGCTCTGGGATTCTCGCCATTACAGCTTTCCTAGTTACGAACGTGTGGCAGGGCGATGGGATTCTCACAATTTCGGCTTTCCAGATTAAAGAACGTATGGCAGGGCCCTGAGAATCTCATCCTTTGAACGTTCCCAAATTGCGAACGCGCGGCAGTCCCATGGGATTCGAATCATTCCAGCTTTCCCAAGTTAGAACGTGTGGCAGAGCTACAGGGTTTTCTTTACTGCAGGAGGCCCCGCCTGAGAGAGCAGGGTATGGCTAGACAATACTATGTATCAGGCTTCGTGCTCATCCGGCCCCTCCAAGTAGGCTGCCAGAGCGAGCAGGATAAACCCCCTGGGCCTGGGGGCGGCCATTCCGCAACCATTCAGGAACGTGCTTTGCTACCCTCCCGATTCGTTTCCCTGGGGCGGCTCAGAGAGGCCAAGAGGGCCCGAAGACGGGACAAGAAGGCTCCAAAAAGCGCCCAATACGGTCCAAGAGGCTTCCAAGGCAGCCCAACAGCGCTCCCAGACTCCCAAGATGGCCCCAAAGAAGCCCCAAGAGCGCTCCAAGAGCGCTCCAAGAGGACCCCCAAGAGGGCCCAATCAGGCACAAATCAGTGATTGTCCTTGTGTATTCCTGTGTTTTTCGCGTTCTCGCCTGATGGGTTTCCGCCGCTCCAAGATGGTCCCAGAGGCCCCCAAGAACCCCCCAAGACATCCCAAGAGGCCCCCAGGACAGTCCAAGAGGGCCCCAAAACGGCCCAAGAGGCGCCCAAGAGCGCCCCAAGATGGCCTGGCCCCAAGAGGGGGAACACGAACAGACAAGTCGAGCCTTCCGCCTCAAGAGGCCTTCAGGGGGGCCCAAGAGGCCCCCAAGAGGTCCGCAAGAGGCCCCCTAGAGGCCCCACGAGTTTCCTGCAAGTCCCCTCGGTCTGCCACTGTCAGTAGTCAAACGGGCTTAGCACGCTGCGGCAACTCGAGGAAGGATGCGCAGTTGGAGGATGTCCTGGTTTGTGTTCACCTTTCTGACATCGCTCGCTGAGTCTGCCCTGCGACAGCTGCTTCCGCGGACGGTCGAAGGCGCGCGGTGCGCGCGAGCGCGAGCGCGCCCCGCTCGCATGGCCTAGCTCCGTAAAGGCACGGCGTGGCGCATTGGACTGGAACGATCGTAACGTCGTAAAGGCCCACCCGGGGGAATGGTCTGCCAGCGCCCCGGGGCGAGTCCAGAGGTCGCCCTGCGCTGTCATGAGGCAGCATCGCAGGCCACCCGGCCGTGTGTCGCCGCATCGCCACTGCGGAGAAAAGCGCACGCGCGACCACGGACGGCTCGACGCCAGTCTTGCGCCGTTAGTTGCCAGGCCACCAGGCCGGGGATTGCAGGGGAGCGTCGCCTGGAAGGCGGCCGCGCGGCCTGGGTCAGAGCCTGGCCAGAGCGCCCATCAAGCTCGGATTCCTCGTTGTCAAGCATTCGGGGCGCGAGGCCTGGGTCACCTCGCGCGGCGCGTTACCGCGCGTGTTTCGCAGTGCGCGCGGTCCGCGCGACGCCGCGCGCAGGGCGCCCCGAGGCAAGCGCCGCCCCCGGGACCGCCGCCGGCCGGGCCGCAGGCCCGCCGGCGGCGCAGCCGCAGCCTGGCGTTGGATTCCGCCGCAGCGGCGCTCCGGTGTGCTATTCGGGCGGCGCCGTCAGGGCACAAGCGTCAAGTGGGCGACCCCCGCAGCTAGATCGCGCAGGCGCGCGCCGCCATTGCATCGCCCGATGAGGGCCCGGCGCGGGCCCAGGAAGCCCGAAAGAGCGCTTTGCTCGGGTTTCGCCCCCGCGCGACCCCGCAAGCGGGGCAGCGGCTTCGAGCGCTGGGCAAATATTGCGCGCGAAGTATTGCAACGCAGGGGCAGTGGGCCTCCGTCGTCGGTCGGCGGCTTCCTGCCCCGGTCATCAACCTGGTCTGCAAGTGTCTCTCGCATCATAGCAAGCTTGCCGCGTCGCGTCGCGGCTTTCTCCCACGCGTCTTCGGCGGGAACTAAAGTGGCCATCGAGAAGCGATCCGGCTGGTCATCGCGACCCCGCACGCCCGTCCTCATGGATGCGCTCGCGCAACTGCTGGAACGCCCAGGTGCGTTTCCAGCCGAGCGCCGCCCGGGCATGCTCTTCGCGGTGATACATTCGTTTCTTTCTCGTCCACCTTCCGAGGCGCTTATTATTCGGCGAGCCGACGCCTCGCGGGCGCGCGCTGGTCCGCTCACCGACGAAGAGAGCGCCGCTTCATCTTTCGCCAGCCACAAAGAATCGCGACACGCGGGCGACGCTCGCACGCGAGCGCCGGCGCAGTCGTTCGGGCGCCACGCGCGCAGCGCGCGCCCCGGGCGCGCGGGCGCATTCTCTCGGGGGAAGAAACCTATGCACATGCACCGATCCTGACAACGCCCATCCTTGACCCAGGATCGGTGCATATACCTTTCTGGCCAAGGTAAGAGAGCATATGCACAGATCCTGGGCTCAGGATGGGCCTGGCCAGAATCGGTGTATGTGCATAGTTCTCTTTCCTCTATTCTCGGCCCGAGGGTTACGCTCCGCGGGCTGGCTGGCCCGCAGGGGGGGCCCGTCGCGCGTTAGGGGCAGCGCTGCGTCCCGCGGGCGCAGGCAACGCCGACGCCTGCGGCAATCACTCGTTCAGGAGGGGCCATGCTCGAGATCGAGGCTCTCGGCGGACGCGTCGCCGACGTCCCAGAAAGGCCGGCGACTGGCAGACGCCAGCGTGGGCGCGCCATCTTGACGTCGAGCAGATGGGGCGCAAAGCAATCGCCGAAGCGCACATCGTCGCGCTGCCCAGCGACGATGAACCTGAGCCAGGGTTTCCTGCGACGTCCAGCATCGCAAAGCGCGCGGGCAGTTCGGCCCCGGTCTCGCCGGGCCCCTCGCTCGCGAGCGTCTTGTCTGTCGCCCGCCCCCGCGTGCCGCGGTCGCTGCGGCGCCCGCTCCTCTTCCTGACAGTTGAGCCCCGCGGGCCCGCTCGGCGCCGCGGGCCCGCCAGGGCAGCGCGTCGGCGTCAGCGCCTGGGGCCGCGGCGCCGGGCGCGGCGCCCGTTTGTTTCGGCCGGCGCATTGACGCGCCAACCGCGCGCACTGGCGATTCATCTAGGGCGCGCCCGGCCGCGGCCTCACCCGACGCGCCCTTCTCCCTCCTGGGGCGGCGTCGTTATCGAGCGTCGCTGCGCCGGAGATTTTGGGGCCGCAATGACTTGTCATTGCAAGTCATAAGACGACCGACGCGGGGGGGAGTGCCCCGCCGGCGACGCAACGCGCGACGGCGGGCGGCTGCGCGATCGCCCGCCGCGCGCCCCCGCTCTTTCGGGCGGGCCAAGCCTCCGCGCGGGTTTGCCGGCACGCGGGCATGCTGGCACGCCGCGCGGCCGCGCGTCGCGCCCTCTCTGTCGCCCCCTCACCGAGCGCGGTCGCCGCGTCTCCATTCTGCCGCCTGAGCGCGGGGCGGGGCATCAAGCGCCTGGTCGCGTCAGCGGCGCTCTACTCGCCCATAGTGATAATTCTGGGCAGGGCGTCCGCGCCCGGCGCCGCCCTCTGCTCGCCGCGGCGCAGCTTTGGCCCGCCGCCGCGGGGGGCGGCGCGCAGCGCGCCCGTTCGCCATGGCGCGTCGGACGCGACCGCTGTCGCAGTTTGTTTTCTCCCCCACCCACCGCCCTCGATGCGGGGCATGGCACCCGCGCGCTTCGGCCGGCGCCCTGGCGCGCCAACCGACAACGTCGGCTGGCGCGGCGGACTGGCGATTCGGCTACGGGGCGTCTGGCCGCGGCCTCGCCCGACGTTGATTGGGTGCCGCCCCCCCCCTCTTGCGCGGCATCGCTGTCGAGCGTCGCCGCGCAGTCTTGCCCGCGGCGGGCAAGACGCGCGCTCGCCGGTCCTCGGCCAGACCGACCGGCTCAGCCCATTCAACGAAATCGACGCTTGTTCGGCGCCGACGTCGACGTGCATCGCAGGAGCTACATTCTCCACGTTCGCCCTCGCCCCTGGGCGCGCGCGCGCGGCACCGGGTCGCCCTGCGCGCGCGCGAGCGGCGCAGCGGCCCGCCTTTCTGCCGCGGTCAGAGCTGAGAGATTTTCCGAACCCACTAGATCTTTGATGCACACGCTCGCCAGCTGCGCTGGCGCCTTCAGGTTGTTCTTTGCGAGGCGCCCCACCGCTGCTTGTCTTCGATATCGGGCCACTCCGCGCCAAGCGCGGTGCCCTGCCCCAGGAACCCCAGCTGCTCAGCACCCGCCACGCAGGGCGATC